AGCTATTTCCCGTTTAGACATCTGGAACCCGTTTTATTAGTCCGGCCTCACGTAATTCCTCGAAAATCGATATTATTTCGTTTGAAACGCCTGTATTACCAGCTGCCTTTGACGCTAGAAGTAGATGTAATCGATCGACCAACTCGTTTGGATTGTTCCAATACACTAAGTTATTTTTCTGTAATTTCATAGACAGTCCACTGCCCGAGGGAAATAATTTACTGATGATTGATGTATATTTAAAGCCACCCTTTTTTATTATTTTTCTACCAATAGTTATATGTGCTGATGTTTGAATCAATATAGATTTATACACACCTATATCGTTGTCGGTATAAACAAGAGGATTTTTCAAAAATAATAACTGAATGAGACCCGAGGTTAAGTCATAAACAGTACCGTCAATAAGTATAGTATTTTCGGTGAATTTTACTTCTTTATCGCCCAATATAATATGGCCATTTGGAAGTTTTTTCGGACCGTATATTTTATCCAAGTCTGTAGACTGAAGCCAATTTTCAATTTCCTGTTGATAGTCGTCCGCAAATGAGTTTTTCGACCTGACGTTAATATTTTCTTTGTTTGATGTCAGCCCAGGTTTATTCGATATTTTAGTTAATGGATCGATAATTGGTTTTAATGTCTGTGTCATTAATTGTTGAACATTATCCGAACCGGTTTTCAATGCGATATATTTGCGTTTAATACTTTCCTTAGCTTTGACAAGCTCATCTAGAACAGTAGTTGCTTCCGTCATGACTGCGTTATAAATGATAATATTTATTAATTGTATCGCCTTATATAACCACATAAGTATCAAACCCAAAACGATAACGTCCGTTATCACGCTCACAGTCTTTACAAATAACAATAAATGTAAACATCTCACGGTTCCAACATGTCATACAAACATTTTTAAATTGTATATATGTCATGTCCCCTGAACAGTGCTCTTGATATATATGTTTTAAATTAGTTTCATCTTGTTTGAACAATACTATTAAATTTGCATTATCGCGTATCAGCTGTTTAGGTACTTTTGAATAGCTCTGAGCTAGGTAAAATATATCAATTTTATTGTGGCGACCTCGAGAAAAATAATCTCTTATTACATTTTGTTGTTCGCCGATAACATCATCCAAGATAAAAATTGAGTTCGGTAAAACTTTCTCGGGTGGAATTACTTTATCATTCTCGAAAAAGGTAAAAATGTTGATACCATCAATACCGTCAATAATACGTTTCAGTAATTTATATTTTGGTTGTTCTAAGGTCTTAGAGTATATGTAAACGTTTTCAAATCGCAAACCGTTTTCATCGACGAGTAGAAAATACATCAGATTTGTTTTACCACATCCAGAGCTACCAAGTACCAACGACCTTATCGTATTTGGGAAAAGTTCACCATGTCTCAGCTGAATTGTCTCGGGGGTATCAATGTTATAAATCCGAAGTTTTTTCTCTTGTTCAATAAAGCGCATTTTTTTTTTTTAATTTTTCACTATAAATACAGATGCAAAGTTATCGAAAGCGTCACACGATGTCTCGAGTTCGTAAGCGAAACAACAATAAAGGATCCGGTCTTATTAACTCTGTTATAAATCATTTACCCGTGGAATTGCATTTACCTGGCTATAGGTAAGTCACTACATAATATTATTGTTATTAAATCCTGTCTACATTTTATATATATATTTGTTATAGATTTGCCGGTCCTGGAACCAAATTAAAAGAAAGACTAGCGCGTGGAGAACGCGGAATTAACCGTCTGGATGAGTTGGCCAGAGCCCACGATATCGCATACGATGAAAGTAATTCACTAACCGATAGACACAGAGCGGACGAAGTATTAGAAAATCAGGCTTGGGAAGTGTTTAAATCAAAAAACACAGGTATCAAGGAAAAAGCTGCGTCTTGGCTGGTCACTACAGCCATGAAGGTCAAACGTAAGATGGGAGCTGGTTGCGGATTTAAACAAATGGTTTTGGCTGCTAAGAATTCGATCAAAAATAAAATGAACGAAAAAAATATAACTAAATTAGTAAAAACATGTCTGTCAGCTGCAAAAAAATCTAAAAAATCTAAAAACAAGAAGACTAAAACTCCAAGAATTATACCAATACCGAAAAGGGGCGGTGTCTTACCATTAATACCTATTTTTGCTGGTTTATCAGCATTAGGTGCGCTTACCGGAGGTGTCGGTAATATAGTCAAAGTCGTGAAAGAATTAAATTCTGGTAAAAACACTCCTATTCATTTAGGCAAAGGCTTATATCTAGCACCTCACAAGGGTAGTTCTTATAAAGTCGTAAAAGGAGAAGGTTTATACCTAACACCATACAAAGGTGGATCAGTTAAGAAGTCTAGAAAACCACACAAGGGTCAAGAAGTCAAGAAGTCTAGGTCAAAAAACTAATTGTTACGTTACCCGATAGAGCGTTGTTCGATTATGAGGTTATAAAATACGCTGCCATGTTGAAAATACCTCATTTCATTGGTGTATTTTCTAGAGACAAGTTGTCGCAACGTTTAAAAAATCAAGAGTCGGCTGTAGTTAATTTAGACACTGAAATCGGCACAGGTACTCATTGGGTAGCGTATAAGAAAATCGGAAAACAAGTTAAATATTTTGACAGCTACGGAAACTTACCCCCTCCGCTAGAATTACAGAAATATTTCAACGGGTGCAGTATCGAATATAACTACGATAGACATCAAAAATATAATACAACAAACTGTGGTCACTTGTGCTTACAATTTTTATCATGTACACTATAACGTTAACCGGCAACTCGAGTGAATTGTCATGCGACTTTTTTCCACCTATAGAAGTCAGTAAAAACGCGAAAATCTGTCTGCTGGGTTTTCAAACAAATAATTCTATACCTAATGTAAACGAGAAATGCAATAGAATAGGAATCACAAATAATATCTCAGGTAAGCGTACAAGCGAAAGCTATACAATACCCACTGGATCTTATGAGTTGAAGGAAATCGAAGCGGCAATAATACGTGTATTACCTAATTCAGATACTTTATTCGTGTTGAGAGCAGATAATAATACATTAAAATGCACAATGTTTTGTAGCGAAACTGTTGATTTTTCCATGTCTAATGGTATAGGAAAATTGTTAGGGTTTAAAAATCGTAAGTATGATGCTAATGTCAATCACGAATCAGATGCGTTGGTCAATATTACAAAAACAAACTGTATATATATCGACTCAAATCTGGTTATGGGTTCATTCGTTAACGGTAAGCAGTGCCATACAATACACGAGTTTTACCCGAATGTACCTCCAGGTTATAAAATAATAGAGGTTCCAACACATTTGGTATTTTACCCAATTAATTCTACATCTATAACGCACGCGAGTATAATTTTAAAAAATCAAGACAACGAGTTGATCGATCTACGAGGCGAGCCAGTATCGATACGATTATTAATTCAAGACTTGTGATAAACAATGGGTCTGCAATTTTGTAATATAAATAGAACTGCGTATGTAAAACCTGTCACTCGTATTAAAACCACTAGCAAGGTAACATCTCCGAAGAAGAAGAAATATTCGAGACGTAAACAAGTTGATCATAGTCTAACAGCAGATAATTTGGATTTTCTACGCTCGCTGAACGCTATTTAATATGGACGATTTGTATTTAGATGTAACGGCTGGATATACCGACGATTGTAAAATAACTCAAATTGACTATCATTCTTTTTTACCGTATTCAACATCTGCTCTTTCTAATAACGACGAGGTGCGTATTGCTCTGCATAACACAGAGTCTTATACTTTACCATGTGAGAGTTATATTTACATCGAGGGGACAATAATCAAACCTGTGGAAATAACTGACGAGATTAGATTCATAAACAACGGACTGGCATTTCTTTTCTCTGAAATGAAATACGAAATAAACGGTACTCAAATTCAGAAACTCGTCAATCCGGGTATATCGACCACATTAAAAGGATATTGCTCGTATAATAAAACAAATATTTCATCGCACCATAACGCTGCTTGGGATAGCGAAATTAAATCTGCTAATAAAGATTTTATCGATAACGACCATTTTAACGGATGTATTAATCTTAAAGATTTGTTTGGTTTTTGTGAAGATTATAAGCGAATTTTAATAAACTGTAATCAGCAACTTGTATTGAATAGAGCATCGATTGATATGAATGCCATCAAGCAGTTTAAAAATAATGAAGTTGTCGCAGACGCTCCTAAACTGAAAGACGTTAAAATAAACATAACAAAAATATTGTGGCGGATGCCTATAGTGAGAGTTAGTGATAGAGAAAAAATTAGACTGTTGAAAGTAATCAACAATCAGAAACCCCTGACATGTGCTTTTAGATCGTGGGAACTGTGTGAGTATCCATTTTTACCTCAAAACACTTCGCATTCGTGGAAAGTGAAGACATCCAACAAATTAGAAAAACCTCGCTATGTAATAATCGGATTTCAAACCAATAGGAAAAATAGCTCGATTAAATCAATGTCATATTTCGACCATTGTAAAATTAAAAACCTAAAGGTCTATTTAAACGCTGAAGTATTTCCCTATGAAGATTTTCAAAGTGACTTTACCAAGAACAAGATGGCGACATTATACCGCGCGTATGCCGAGTTCCAAAAATCTTACTACGGCCATGACGATGTGAAACCGCTATTGAACCGAGCAGATTTCAAAAATCTGTCTCCAATTATAGTTGTTGATATGAGCAGACAGAACGATAACGTGAAAACATCAACCGTCGACCTCAGGATTGAACTAGAAGCAGACGAAGCGTTCCCAGATTCAACATCCGCATATTGCTTAATATTACATGACCAAATTATAACTTATAATCCATTTAATGGAGAAGTAAGAACCTTGTAAATACTTATTGTAAACCTTACTATTATTTTAATAAATAAAAAAAAAAACTTTTTTTAAGTACCATGCTAGTTTTATTTTCACATAAATTAGTTAATTTCATACAAATATTAAAATAGACGTCGCTTAACATCACGTACTGGCGTCGGATGGTAGGCGAAGGTTGAATGAGATCGTTTGTGTGATGGCACTGGATGATCGGTGTAAGTTGGATAAGGTTGTGGTGGTGATATCGTCCTGAATTGGTAGAAAAAATCAGGCCCATCGTTTACGTCGCACGCCTGCGGGTTGCGAACCTCGTCAGATCCGTCCATATGATCTAGTGCCTGGAAAAAATAAATATAAAATAAATATTGTGTTTTTATTTTTAAAACTATGTTTATATAAATTACCTTAGCTAAAATATCATCCTTAGGCTGATTAAATCCATCACGTGCAGATGAATCGTCGTGCATGCTTAATATATTGCTGACCGGCGAATAGCTTGACGACGTTGGTGTATCCATTTCACCATTCTGTAACTAAAATAAAAAAGTTGTATTAAATATTTTTTTTACATGTACTACTGTATTTATGAATTACCTCATGTGTCAACTGTTGTAACACAGTTTCTGCTAGTTGTACGGTTGCATACATTTGTATTTGACCGATCATGTTTGGGTAAATTTTCTCCGTTCTATCGTCTTGTATTTTTTTAACGAATATTAACATATCTTCTAAATTTTTCGGTGGTGATTTAAGGCAAGCAGATTTCTCATGTAGATACATCGCAAAATCGTCAAACTGTCTTTTAATTACTGGAGCAGTGGTTACTTCTTTCCGTACAATACTTTCGAAAATACTACATTCAAGATATTGAAGCTTCATAAAGTCCTCCCGATTTAACAGTACTCTGCACCCGTCCTGAGTTTTTGACTCTATTACTAGCACGTTTTCTCCACAATACACCATACTGGATATTTTATGAAATTCAGTCTCAAGAAATATGATGCGCTTGTACTTCTGGACCGTATCTAGTATAAATGATAAGATATGCCCCATCATAGAGAATATACGTCTCAGGAAATCCGGAGATATTTTAACATGGCGCGATGGTGTTAATAAATGAACGGTGACTTGAAAATTATCAGTAGGATCGATACCTACAAGTATAAATTTGCGAGCTGCAAAGTTGATCGTGTAGCTTGTGGTTTCGATGAGTTCAGCCGGTGGTGATGGTGGTACATACGTAAAGGTCTTTTTCTTGTATAATGCAGCGTTGTCTTCGATTGAACCAGCCATGTTTTTAAAAATTGTTTATTATAAAAATAATAAAGACTTGGAAAAATTTTAAACACTGAACCACTTTTATAAAGACTTGGATAAACGCGGAGGAGAATCGTACGTGTGTACACTTGAAGACAGACTGACTGAATGCCGACTCTTGCGGAGCCTATAAGTGTCCGTTTCACATTTACGTGCAGTAGATATTTCGCATATTCAATAATATAGGTTTATTTCGTGATTTTCGGCTATTTTAATAAATCTACAACATACTAAAATAAAGATATGCGTCATATATTTTAATTTCACACTCAACGTTACCAACGCATGCTATCATTATGATACATTATAAACAATTTTAAAACTACGGCAAAACATGTTGTAGATATTTCTCATATTCAATAATATACGTTTATTTAGTGAATTTCGACATTTTTAAAAAAACCTACACCGTAGTAACAATAGTGGTATACGGTATATATTTCTGATATTTAACAATATACGTTTATTTCGTGAATTTCGACAAAATCGTAATAATCTACACTGTACTAATAATTACGTTATGTTGTAGATATTTCTGATATTTTTCGATTTACGTTTATTTCGTGAATTTCAACATTTTTGACATTTTTAAAAATACCTACACCGTAGTAACAATAGTGGTATACGGTATATATTTTTGATATTTAACAATATACGTTTATTTCGTGAATTTCAACATTTTTGACATTTTTAAAAATACCTACACCGTAGTAACAATAGTGGTATACGGTATATATTTTTGATATTTAACGATTTACGTTTATTTCGTGAATTTTAACAAAATCGTAATAATCTACACTACAGTTACAATTACGTTATGTTGTAGATATTTCTGATATTTTGCGATTTACTTTTATTTCGTGAATTTTAACAAAATCGTAATAATCTACACTGTAGTTACAATTACGTTATGTTGTAGATATTTCTGGTGGCGGTGACAGCTGCTGATAATTTGACGGTTGTTGATAATCGTTATCACTATTAGGTATACGTCACGCACGTGCCCAATAATCGTTATCAGTGGTAAGAAGTGGTTACTGATTAGGTTACTGATAAGGCCAACATATTTACTTCGCGCACGTGGCCGATAACTGTTATCAGTGGTAAGTAGTGGTTACTGATAAGGAGTGGTTACTGATAAGAAATGGTTACTGATAAGGAGTGGTTACTGATAAGGCCAAAATATACGTCGCGCACGTGACCGATAATCGTGTGTGTGTGTGTGTGTGTGTGTGTGTGTGTGTGTGTGTGTGTGTGTGTGTGTGTGTGTGTGTGTGTGTGTGTGTGTGTGTGTGTGTGTGTGTGTGAAGTGTGTGAAGTGTGTGAAGTGTGTGAAGTGTGTGAAGTGTCAGCGGTCTGAACCCCCCAAATCATACTACTCATATGGTCAAAGATTTCTGGACTATCTAGGTCCTACTATCTTCAACTCCATGAATAATGAAATAAAAAATACAATTTGTGTAACACCAACGAATGCGAAAAAATTGGTTTCTGATTGGTTATTTACTAACATGGAAAAACTTTAATACATGTATAGGGTCACTAATTATTATGCTATCTAAAAAGTAAGATGATAAATGTAATTTGTAAATGTCTTCTTATGTTTATTTTTACCTAGTTGTAATATTTTATCTTTACGTGTACTTGTTTCTGATAATTATTTCTTATTTTTCAATGTTAAATTTATTTTTATATGATTTATATTGTAATTTATTCTACCACTTTATAACTCTCTTTCTCCAACACAAGCGTAAGCTTACAGGAGAAAGATAAATCAATTTAAGGTTTTATTTAATATGTTATCTTGTTAAATATTATTTTTCTGATTAATAAAAAAAAAAAAAAAAAAAAAAAATTAACTTTTAACTTACTGAGTTAACCTATAGTTAAATTAACTTTTAACTTCAAAATGTTTGTTATTGATGCATAGGTTTTAACTTAATTTAACTGAGTTAAATAAAACACATTAACTTGCCCAGCCTTGATAATATGCAGGTGCGACGTCCTCTTAACATAACCGTACGTGGTCATCTCGCGGTCGTAGGCTTATCGTAAGAATCCTACACGCTCTGCACAAGCCGGATGTCCCTTACATATAATTATAATTATTTTGGTGTATTCTTTTAAATAACAACACAATTCTTGCACGATTATACTTGGACGGACGTTGTGAGAAACGCCTCAAGTCACTTTTTGGTCATTTTGATATTATACATAAAAATTGTTGGAAATTTTACGTTGCATCGATTGGTAACACGCTGTTATTAACTACGGTTGCTTGTTGTTGTGTTATATTGATGTGCGAAAAGAGTCAACTCAATAACTGTGGAATTATTTTATGAGAAACGTGTCACGTCAAAAATAATTAAACAATTTCGTGAGAAACATTTCAAGTCACTCAATATTGTATTATTTATTTCTTTATTTATAAACTTAACATAAATTTAACATTTATAAAGTTAACATAGTATAATAGCACAGACTTCTATAAAACCAAATCAGAGGTGTTATTAATGTCAAGTCATATGTGCAAAAGGTGTCAAGTCAGATATTGTTTGTGTCATTTATGTCAAGTCACTTACAAAAGTCTTAAAATTATTTAAGATTTAAAGTTGAATGGAAATCTAAAAATAAATATGTCTATGAGATATAAATAACTATTCTAACAAATTAAAAACAAAAATTGGAGAATATAAACGTTTTTTACTTCTACAGAAACGTCCGTCCACTTATAGTTATATTTTATATGCATAGTCATATTATATTTATTGAATCGCGGAAGGGCCACCCGCTACTGACTACTACTATTATTATTATCATCGTCGTATACGCGTTCTCTCGCGTTTTATCGTAATATTTTTTATCGTATTTATTTTATGAATATTTATGTTACTGGAAAATACGTAAATTAAGAAATTAACATTAATGACTAGTGAATAACGATATTTCTGATCAAATGAGACAGTATAGGTACGATATTGACTAGCAAATAACGCTAATGTCCATTGCTTTCAGGCAATAATGCGTTTAGAAATATTTTCTAGGCAGTGATGATAACTCCAGTCTATTTCAGTGAAAATTGATAAAAATATTAAATTAATTAAATTCAAAAATCTAAAATTCAGCACATTGCATAACATGTATTTAGTATTTACCTATAGTACCTACCTTCAAAGGTAAATCAAATTTTTAAAATAAATGATTCGATTTATTTATTTTATCTATGTAATATTTAGTATAAATGTTTAATTTATAACCTTATATGCATTATTAAATTTCTGAACCAGTTTAAATATTTTGATCTACCACAGCTGTATTGCTTATCTGATAATATGCAGCTCGCATAATCACAAAAACCTAGCTGCAATAGCAACGCATTGCCGTGTCCAGCTATAGTATATTATGCATATAATTTTAAATTATAAATTATAATAAAAAGTTCTTACTTCTTACCCAATAACATTTTAAAAATGTTCTTAAGTAAATTATTCTTAAATGTTAGAAAATAAATAAATATTAATATGCAAAAAATTTTATGAACATAATATTATTTTAAGTTGATTTTTAATATTTATAAAATATTTTAAGATCATTATCAGGATAATATTGTGCACTCAACAAAGCTGAACAAACATTAAGAAAATAACATTGAGAAAATATTCTGTGTATAATATTCGGAATAAAAATTTTTATTTATAATACAATAACATTTTATTATTAATATTGTATATTATGTAATCCAGTTATAATGTTATTATAATATCAATGTTACTAAATTGCTGTCTATAGGCGTTCGTTGTTTTATCAATATAATATGAGGATAATTATTTTTCTTTACCCGTGAAACGACATAATAAAAAGGTATATTTTATTATTTATTAGTTTATTTACTTGATATATAATAATATTAAAATACTATAACATTGAACCATATTATTAGTTTTGTATAAATGACAAAAATATATTGTAAATTCCTTAGTATGTCAGAGAAAACTAAAATTATTTCTTAGATAGTTGGAAGTTTGACAGAAAGTGTAGATGGTGAACTGTGCCATAGTGGTTTGGATACAGATAAAACTCCAATTGAATATGTTGATCCGGGTTGCAGGCCAGTTATCTGTAAAATCAATAAATAATTTGATCAGGTGTTTATTGAGGCAATAAAAACTACAAAGAACAAAGTTGTCAATTTTTTTTAAATATCTACGATGCATATATATCGTAAAAACGGAAGGTACCATAGGTATAACAGATACCTACTTACATTTTGACTACCTAAATATCAAAATTATACAGAGTGTATCTTATGGCATTGTACACGGGTTTTTTTTTTACGAATATTGATCGATGACATAAAATTTCTTTAAAACGAAAAAAGATTTGTATCTTTATTTTAACAGTCAATTTTTTTTATAAAAATTTCAAAATGTTTAAACAAGCAGATGTACCAATAGCAAAAACAACTTTAATTTTTCAAAAGGTACTACTATATTTTTCAATGGATTCCGGTAAAGCTTTTTTTTCTGAAAATTTCGATAGTCAATTCATCAATTTTGGTTATCTAGCTTATTAACTATGGTCCTCTAAAGTTAAGTAAAATATGCATTAATATTTTTAATTGAAATAATTGATATAGATTTAATTTATAAGAGCTAAATTGTTTTTTCTTATAACTAACTTTTATAACTTGAAATTTGAACCATAAGTTCCCTATATTGGTATGTATCGCAAGCAAAGTATGAATTTAGCAGTTGAAATTGTGTAAGAATTATTTTATTTTAATCTTGATTTATTTGCAAGATATTTAGATAAATAGTCAATCTCAATATAGATTTGTACCTAACTTAGGCATACTTTTAATCTGAGTTGATTACAGATTTAAAATATTATTATAACAAGAATCAAATACCATTAGGCATTACCTTAGCCACATAATAAAGAATCCAAATTCCAAATTAATGCTATTGTAAGAAAAGTAACTGTGAAGTTATTAATTACGATTACCTATAGGCTATAATAACAAATTAAAATAATTATTATTATTTTGATGATGGTATGTTAAAATAAAAATATTGAACTATGTTGGCAACAATTTTGTTTGTTTGTTTTTTTTTTTTTTAGGGTCATTAGATTACCGGTTAAACTACCAAAGTGTATAAAAAGGTAGTTATAAGAAAAACTATTTTAGTTCTTGTAAATTTAACCTTTACAATTATTTCAATTAAAAGTATTAATGCATATTTTACTAAACTTAAAAGGACTATAGTTAATAAACTAGCTAACCAAAATTGATGACTTGACTATCAACTTATCAATATTTTCAGACAAAAAAGCCTTAACGGAAAGTATTAAAAAATATAGTAGTTACAATTAGAAAAAATAAAGTTGATTTTGCTTTTGGTACACCTGTGTTTGTATAATAATTTTGAAATTGTTATAAAAAAAATTGAATGTTAAAAATAAAGAAACAAATCTTTTTTCGTTTTAACGAAATTCTATGTCATCGATCCATAATCGTTAAAAAACACTTTAGTACAATGACATAAGATACACCCTGTAATCTGTATATACGATGTATGACAACATGATTGTGGCAAATAAAAATGGTGAAGATCGTGACGTAATAAAAACATTCTACTTCGACAGACCTAAAGGCAGGGACTGATTTACCAATTTATGGGCCCAGTATAATATTTACAATTTTGGGCCCCAAATTGTTCTTCTCTATTTTCTTCAATGCTAAAATAAAATGTACCTATGCATAATACAGTCCCTAAAATATCAAAATTTTCGTTCTACACACATAGACGATAATCGGTCAAATCTAAATTATTTCTAGATAAACACTATAAAAAAATAGTATACTATATACCACCGTTCAAAATACTAAGCTGATAATAATAAAAATAGCTACTCTCAATGACAAAGAAAAGTTTAAAATTATAACTATAATAAGAGTATAAGATATATACATTTGTATATTGATTGTATATATACAACACAAAATATTGTTTACTGTGTGACTGTGTAGAATGTAGATAATAATTAAAATGTGGTTTGGTAGAAAACCATTAAAATATAAAAAAAAATGTGAAGATATAAAATTATTCATAATATTATTATAAAGATATAATTAGAATAACACACTTTTAAATTTCGTACTACACGCTGCACTTTTATTACTTCACAAAGTCTGTCGTAGTACATACAATTTTAGGGACTAGCATAAAGTATTTTTTAATTAATGTCGTACACTCGTATGTAATTAGTTGGTTATATATACGAGTGCCTATAGGTAACTATAGTTGGATCATAGAATAAAATTGTATTGTTAAAAATGTGATTATTTAATATACAAGAACACTACACTATTTCAATATGTCTAATTATTAATTAATGTTTAATATTTATTCCAGTAAATGCCTATTGCCTATACAAGATAAAAATATTTTTTTTATTATTACACCTATATATCAAATTTAATGTTTTAAGTCAAATTTGATTTCAGTTAATCAGTTTTCACAAAAATTTCGATTGTGCGCTGGTAGATAAAATAGTTCTAAACCTAAATTTATTACCGTTAACTACCGTTTGGTTTTTTTTTCTTCATGACGTTTATTCTTCGATTTTCTCTACCATGAACCACTTATTTATTTTTTTGACATTTTAAATTATTAAAAATAATAAACAAATGGCAATTAATAAATATACAATAAATAGAACTGACGTATATCATGTAACTACGTAATACAATAACGCCAATAGTAGTATTACGATGAAAATAATATTATTACTATAAAAACGGCAATTAGATTTTGTAATCAGCAAAGTTGATTAAGGTCGTCGTTTTCAGGGAAAACTCATACTTTGAACTTTATACTCATAACCCACCAAAATATCCAACTAAAATCCAAATCTATTTGGTTTTCCCAAAGTATGATAAAAAGGTATAGAATTAATTTTGTATAATGGAAGTCGGTGGGCCCCAGGGCTGTAATTAGGATTTGCGAGGTCCAGGGAGAATACCAATTTTTAAACTAATTTTACCAATTTATTCAAACTGTATTTACTCCAAATGTAAATAAAAAGAGTGAGGCCTAGGGCCTGGGCCCTGCTCGCCCCCCCCCCTAAGGATGGCCCTGGTGATCCCCTCTTATGAGTGGGCCCAGTGCAAATGTCCCATTTGTCCTTCCATAAATATGGCACTGCCTAAAGATACCGGAAAAACCGACGTCAAAGTGTCTATCATCGACGGTGGCATGAATATGCAATCTAATTTCGGACTGGTGAACGGTACGGTCTCAGCTAACACACAAGATACGCGAAGCGACAATAAAAAACTGCTCTTCAGCTTTAAACTTTATTCCACTTTTACTATACTCTATAATAACCACATTTCGATTACACTATCTGGTATCATCCTACACCGCTGAAGACTGAACACGACTTTCAGACTTACGTTTTTCGACATTCTTAAAAACACACAATACTGGATAATATCCGAGCGAGTGACAGACTTCGTTGTGTAGTATCAGACTACATATTATTGTACTTCAACGAATTTTTGTAAAATACTATACTATTCATTTTCTGTTTTCTATCGTTTTGTCTGCAACAACCTGAACTTCTTACCTGAGCTTACCGGGTATGCTATTTATACATTGTAATATATTAATATATATTTATATATTTTACTTTGGTGTCTTTGTTGAATTTTAATTGGTTTTTACTTGAGGTGACTGACTTACCAGACACTCAAACATGGTTTTCAATTTTACACTTCTTCCATACACGAAATCGAGGTAAATACACAGTGGGGGGAGGGGGGTCAATCACCCCGTTCAATTACTGATTTCAATGGGCCACGTGAGATTTCTAGACACTCAAACTCGACTCTCAAACATTTCCAGTAGCAAAACGAGACTGGTAAGTCCTCATCACAAACAGTGTTTACCATTTATATAGGTAATAATATAATATATCAAATATATAAAAATTATCATTGTTAAAACTATTAACTAGGTTAAGTAAACATTCATATGTAACAGGTAAAATACCAAAACAAAACAAATCAAATCATACAATACTTAATAAGCTAAGTAACAACATAGAAACAATTATGCATTCCACCAAATTAGGATAAGATAAAAATTATTATGTTATACAATAACAATTAGTACAGTTTTAAGCATAGTCAGTAAGTATAATGTAACTAGGTTAAACTTAATATCGATACTACCAATAGTGCTTCGATTATAATATTGATATAATATAAGGAATATTTTTAAGACAGAAAGAGGGTCAGTGAGTGGTGATCGTGTGACTCAATTACCACTAACCACCAGTGTTAGAGCTAGGTCGTGATCGTGTGACTTGATCGTCACTGGACGTCAAAGTTAATAAAAGTGCTTATTATAAATATAAAGTTAGTTTATTTGTGTACGTCTGTGAAAGGTGTATACGACATATCATGGAAACAAACCGTGTCAGCCAACCTCAACCCTTATCAAAAAATCACAATTTTTATCACTTTCTCAAACTTTCGAGTTTTAAACGGCCATCCATGTAGTCACAGACGTGATTTATATAATTTTAATGACATTGGCTCCGAATTTGGTACTCACACTCAGAGAGTTACACCACTAGCAAGTATAAAATATATAATTGAAAAACTATAATACCTCGGTTACTATATGAATAAATTGTGGAACACGAAGCAAATTCCAAGTTAAATAACTACAATTTATATTACTACTTTAAAATATATCATCTCCATGTAAAATAAATTACCGTATAGTTATAAGTAGGCAGTTCTTCATTAACCGGAATTTCTTTTGGCTTAATGCTGTCCTTCTCTATTGATGTAATTTCATCAACATTAATAACAAACATTTTCAATACACCGTTGAATATCCATGGAATATCCCACTGGACAGCTATTGAAGTGTTACCAATTTCGGTTGTTTTTAAATTCATTGGAGAATCAGGTTCTATATTTTGTGCGATAAACAAATAATCATAAAAATATTACAAGTAGATCGGTAGTTAGTAGATACTTTAGTTAGTCTTAGTACTTTACTATTATATAGTAGTTAATATTATTAAATAATATTATTATATAGCCATTTATTATTTTAATCAATTTTATGTGTTGGTATTTAAGCTATTATTGGTATAAAGGTAGGTTGTATGTAGGTACTTACGTCCATCGATGCTGTTAAAAGAAATAGACGAAACTTCACCACCTTCAGGATAATCTATTGACTTTGGCTTTATCTAATATAAAAGCAAGTACATCTTAAGTATATAAATAATTTTGTTAAAAGGATAAAATGTGTCTTCTCTCCAGACTCTTGCGAACATAGATAAAATACATTCGCGTAAAACGGTATTTTTGTGATTGTTGAGTAGGTAATAAGTAAAATCATCTACTCAAAAAATTATAGAGTATAATAATTTTGAGGATACATATATGTTAGAGCCCTAAAGTAGGTGCTACCCGAAGGACCACTCGCTGATGCCCGAGAACGATTTCTGGTTTTGACTATGATCAATGTTACCACTAACGCCGAATATTGCACTGGGTAGGCATCCATATGTGCCCTCGTCAGATATTTTGGAGGGTAGGCAGTTCTACTCATGACAAAGACAAATACGAGGACGGGAGAGACCTACCGAAGGAATGATGATAGTGCAAGATAGTTATGGTGAGGGGTTCTGTGGTCGATTCGGTTTGGTGCAATGACCACAGAGCTCACAAAAACAGGGAAAGTACTTAAAACTAACTTAACACTACTGACGTCTTGAGATGACGATGGATTGACGATGAACGTGATGACTGATGAGTCGGCAGACGTCTACGTGGACTTGGGCGGCCTCTCACATAACGTATGTACGTTGCTGGTGGACTTACGCATTGACTAATGACGGCATCAACATTGACAGTAAACAGTTGCCAAGTTTGACGGCGATAATAACAATAATAAAAACTTACGACGGATAAACTTTTTATTATTCAGGATTTATAGCAATATATATTGCAATATATTTTTAGCAGTATAATAATAAGAATAATAATGATAGTCGGCAACACCGTAATAATATAAATAATTTTTGTGCTCGATTTATTAGCGGATTACACATATAAATAATATAGATCGATATATTAGTGAACACAAAATAAATAATACATATCGCTATATTAGAGGGTCCCAAAATATAAAAAAAACTATGGTTGCTTTAATAATGGACCAAAAAAAAAACCACAACCTTATAATAATAATAAAAAATTATAGTAATAAGTAATAGGGAGTTTGCAGCAGAAATAAAACAATACAATTTTCAAGAAAGAAATATATAATGACTATCTGAGACCATTCACATGAAAACAGCACAAAGAGATTCAATAAATATAACAATTATCATAATTCACAATTAACGGAATGAGTGGTGTATGGATGAAGAGGGAGCTGATACTGAAAGCAGGGACTGGAACCTTTGTAATTTTATCGGTTTGGGTTTAGGTTTTGGTTCTCAAAAATCCAAAATTTTGGTTCCGGTTCTGGTTTCGGTTTTCAAAAAAATCAAATTTCGGTTTCGGTTTCGGTTTTGGTTAATACCAGTTTTAACCCTTCATATTTTACTTTTGCTTTTTATTTCATTTTTATCAAATAAGTACTGTATGCTAAAATAACATGTTAAGAACCTCTATTTAATTTCATGTATTAATTATTATTAAGTGTACTTATTTCAGAGTTAAAGTAATATTATACCATTAACAATAAAACTATAAAAGATATACTATGATATTCAACAATTTACTGACTGCTTATGGAAGTTTCAATATACAATTGAATTCTAAGTATTGTAAGATTTAAAAAACATTACCGGCATATACTACGTATCTATACAACTTACTCTGAAACACTTATAAACGTACACATTTTTATTATTTTTAGAAATTCTACATAAGTTATTGTGAATTACGATTTACGATAATATAATGGAGGTAGGTACCGGTCTTGTTAAAGATTACATGGCAATTAGATTTGGATTTTTGGAATTTGTTTTATGATTATTGATTATTCTGTTGTACTCATATAATAATATTCTTATTTCTTAGTATTGATAAACTTTTATAGATCTATTACTTTTTATAATATTATATGTTATTACTAATATGTAGTAAAAAATAACTCTATTATATTATTATACCTACTACTATACTCAGTGATTCTTTTATCAAACAACACTCATTATTTCAAAAAGTGTAAATTTTTTTGAAGATATTTTTTTACATAGTTTCAAGTCGCTTATAAAACAACGTTTTTATTAAGAAATTATTTTTTAATTATCTTTTATCCTTATAATTTTTTAAGTTTTTTACTTTTTTGAATGACAACATAGGGTTTTAATTTTATATTCTAAAGTAGAATATTTTTCTTAGTATTTTGATACATGAAAATTGAACTTGGGGCGACTAGTTTATGAGTTATAAGTTTTTAAAGTTTAGACGAGCGGTCAAGTGGACAAACATTTCGCGGGGTAACCCCGAACCACTCCACTCCGCTCGTCTAAACTTTAAATACTTATAACTCATAAACTAGTCGCCCCAAGTTCAATTTTCATGTATCAAAATACTAAGAAAAATATTCTACTTTAGAATATAAAATTAAAACCCTATGTTGTCATTCAAAAAAGTAAAAAACTTAAACAATTATAAGGATAAAAATAATTAAAAATATAATTTTTTAATAAAAACGTTGTTTTATAAGCGACTTGAAACTATGTAAAAAAATATCTTCAAAAAAATTTACACTTTTGAAATAATGAGTGTTGTTTGATAAAAGAATCACCCGGTAGATAAAATATCTATTGGATTTTGGAACCGAAAAAAACCAAAATAACCTCTTCATTAAAATTAGGTTTCAGTTTCGCTTTGGGTTCCTAAAAAAATGTATTTAAGGGTTCCGGTCCGGTTTCGGTACCAAGACTTTCAAAAGGTTTCGGTCCAAAACCGGTTAATTTCGGTACAGTTCCAGTCCCTGAGGGAAAGGTCGTCGTCGCCGCACAGAATTGCAAAACGCGATGCGCTAATAGCTTGGCGTGAACAATATGAGTAGTATGACCTATCGGTATTAAAATTAATTATTATTTCACTTTATATTCGCCTTTAAAAATAAAAATTGTACCAACATTGAAATGGATATTATGTTATTTTGAGACAATATTTAGCCAAATAGATATATATCATAGCTTCAAAGTTCTCTAAGATAATTCAAATATATGAAAACAAAATGATTTTAAACGAATACGTATTGTCTATGTTGCAATTGATCCAGGGAGAAAAAAAACAGCTTTCTCAAAATTAAGTTAACTGAATACTATATGTATGTATACATTAATACTATAGGTAAAAACCCTCTATCCATACGTACTTTAAATGTATAGTTGTTGCTCGTTTTACTCAAATTATAAAATGTATGACAATAGTATTCTGGCCAAGCCGAACAATTCTTCGGTGGTATGATGGAAACGTTTTTCGTGTTAATCAAAGGATTCTCATCAAACGAAACTATAAATCCGTCTACATTTGTGTCTTGGGCATACCTCCAGCGAATCCCTGCCATATGATTCTTTAGACTCTTTTTATAAACCACTAAATCTTCTACTGGTTTTAAATCTATATATGTGTAAAGTAAAAACAAACGTAAGCTTTAATAACATAATATTTAGAAATTCAAACAGTTATATAATTAGAGTCTACTCACTTTCAAATTTAGTCTTGAAATTGGTGAGTAGAAAATGATCTGGATTATAACCGAAGTGTGTTTTTATAAATACTTTCAGTTCATAAGTTGTGTTGGATTTTAGCTCGTTAAAGCTAACGTAATTATTTTTCGTTTCTCTTTTTTCTAAAATGTCAGCAACCTTATCCTACAAATAGATATTTGATATGGTATTACAAATATATATATATATATATATATATATTATTTACAGAAATTACCTTTAATTCTATATAGAATTGAGACAAAAATCCATTCAGTTTTGAGCAATTTTGGGGACTCAATTTCCACTGAACAAATATAGAGTTATTAGTGATGTACATTGGATGATCAGGATCTAAGATTGGTTCAGTTATTGGACCTAATAAAAAAATATTATTATAAATTAAAATAATATATTCAAATACGATTTGATATATTTTTACTTGAAGCTGGTGTTAATACATTAATTATATTTTCTAGTTGAGTAGTATTTTGGTCTTTAAGGTCAACTAAGACTTGTACACTATATTGAGAATTCGGCACCGGATCTAGGATTTCATAGTTCGTTTGATTAGAAATTTTTATTAACGTCCAATTTTGTTCTACTTCTCTTATGGAACAGCTGAGAATTCGTTTCACCTATATTTAAAATTTAATGTATGGAAATACATAGGCATAATTCTAATTAAGCTTTAGCAATAGCAATACCTAGTGGATTTTATTATTTATTTTTTCATAATGTTTTTTTTAGTTGTATATTATAGTAATGTATAAATAAGTAAGTCGGATGTACTTCGTTTGGAAGTTGTCATTAAACATATTCTAAAATTATGGTTTTTAAAAATGTTAATTTTTTAAAAAAACAATACACATAATTAAATATTTAAATTTCAAAATATGTGATTTTTAATGCTCTATTGATTGGTCAAATCAAAACTCAATTTTTAAGTTTTAGAACTGAAATCAAAATTAATTCTAATTGTGTTTTAAATAGCTGCAGAAAATCGATATTGAATAATCGATTTTTTTTTTTTTAATTATGTAGAATTTTCAAGTACTTGTTTGTTAATAATAATATTTAAAATGTTACGTTAACTTATTGGCCACTGTACGATAGGCCAGTAGGAACTCCAGTTTGATGACCAGAATTGTTAGAGTTAGGGAGTGACTAATAGTGTTACTTTAACAGCCGCTGGTAACCTATATAGGGCTTGTAGTTTAATGCGTTTGAACTTTTAATGTCTGTAACTCTGAAACTAAGTTAGATAGACTATTCTGATCTATTTTCAGCTATTTTTCAAACACGTTTTGGATTAATTTTGAAAATGCTATTTTAGAAGGTCCAAGTATAACAATTTTAAGGGAAGTATGACAGGTAAGTTTTGATTTTAAGAATGATTTAATCGTGCAAATTAAAAAACAAATTTTAAAAATAAAAAATTATAAAATATTATATATATATTTATATAATTATATTATAATTCTAAGTATTATTTTTTATGAAATTTTTCACGATAGATTTTCTTGCTAGGTTGCTAAACTAGAAACATTCCAATATGGCAACATATGTATATATTATATACGTATATTAACGGCAAGTAATATGCATTTAAATTAGGTACTTATAGGTATTTATTATTATGGAGACAATATAATAACTACTTAAATTGTTGTAAGAGTTGTGCTGAATAAAATTACTTTATATTTGATGATTGATGTTACTGGTTCATCGACTGTCGTGTAATGTTCATGAGGATATACCAATATCCAATTTACTTTGATTTTTCCATTTTCATATTTAGTAGAAATATTTTTTATTTGAACGTCGTTTTCTATAATATTAAGAATGCAAGTAAAATTATTATATTTAATTATAATTTATCAAATAATTGTATGGCATTAGGTATTTGTTTCTTGTAGATAGATATTTAGAATTAGAAATACATCTATCTTTAAAATATTTATTACTATTAAGTATGTTTATTAGTTCATTAATTGCGTGAGAGTTCAAGATGCAATATTAGGTATAATGTTGTCAGTGTGACCTAAAGTCCAAAGTTATATTAACTAATTGTTATGGTGCATATTTCGATGGTATTTTGTATGGATAACTTGTTGCTGATATTCCGATGGTACGCAACTAACCCAATTCTTAGCAAGCATACTTTTACTTTCATGCTCTTGGCGTTGACTCCAGTTTCAGCCTGAGCTTATTGGTTCTATTTCTGTTCCATAATTATTCTTCGTTACCTCTGACATAATATGGAAAATAACATTGAAAAGACATGTTATTTTGGTAAATATTGTTCAGGTCATCACACATTCGTGTTTATTCAAAAAAAATTTCCCAGTTCTAAGATGTCTTTGCTTTATTCTTCGACAATTTTGTTTGTGTTGTAAATGTGTTGCTGGTCAATATTTCGTTTTTGAATCGTACCGTGATTTTAGCGGTGTTTTCCATGTGTGTGCGGGATCACACCTGTTCATTTTTATTTTATTAAATCTTTTATCTTACGCGGCCGGCACCACGCACACCGTAGCGACATTTGGGTAAGTGGTACAACACATATTTGTCGTTATTTTAACTATAGATAAACAATTTGTTACGAGTGACCAAACTGATCCATATTATTTGTATTATTTGTAAAAATCCTAATTTCTGAATACCCATATTTATGTGTAAGAGCGTGGCAAAAGCAGCTCTTTGAATTGTTAATACTTAATAAATCAATCAGCTGGTTTTAATTATTAATGTTGTCTTTAGTCGTCTGGTAGAATTATTTTATATCACTATTATTATATTTATCAACTGTACAAACAACATAATTTGTATATTCATGATCTGCTGTGACTAAACACTAAAACTTACTATATCATTTTATGTATAGTATATTATATTGTTTGCAATATTCTTATAAATACATTTAATTAAATAAAGTTTACTACATATCAACAAATTTTTACATTTGTTCAATCGATACACGATATTGTCCAAGCCTGATATGTCGCTGTTACCTGATATCATGATAAAATGAGGTAGTACATTAAAATGTAAAGCGTTTGTTTGCGCATTTTATAACAAATGGTAAGATCAGCTGAGTTATAGGCAGTGTTGTAAAAAATACTTTTTAAAAGTATTTAAGTAATTACTCAAATACTCTTAAAATAAAGTATTTAAAATACCACCCAAATACTATAAATAGTAAAGTATTTGAGTAATACTCAAATACTTTTCAGAAGTATTTAAAATAATCTTCAAATACAAAAAAAAAAAATTCTTTTTACTTTTTAGTTCTGAAATAATTTGTTATAATCAAAAATGTGTTTATTGCATTTTAAAAACATGATTCGTTCAATAATCAAAATTCTAATTAGTCATGTTAGTTGCACTACAACAATGAACTTTTCTCAACAGAGTTATTATATTAATTTAAAGCTATATTATGTATTTGGATATCTCATACCGTCATCGATAAACAATAATGATAATAATTGATAAAAATTTTCTTGATAAATAGGTAGCCACTAGCCAGTAGGTACTAATAATTATTAACATTATTTTCGTATAGTTAAATAATTATAAACTATAAAATATAATAGCCGTTAAGTAGAAGCTTTTTACATATATATTTTGTTAACTTAAGCTAATAGTGACACCGACTACAGATGTATCTTTTCGATCATCGTCGACAATAAGCTGTCTCCTAGAGAATAAAAAAAATTAAATAAAAGTATTCAATAAAATAGTATTAAATAGTAAAAAAAGTATTTAAAATACCATTCAAATACTTCAAAATAAAAAGTATTTAAAAAAGTATTCAATACCGAAAAAAGTATTTGAATACTTTTACTCAATTACTTTTACTCAAATACTATACAACACTGGTTATAGGTATGTTTTAACTTTTAAGTATGAAGTATGATTCATTGATTATTTCTTGTTTAATAAATGTATGATATGAAAAAGTGTAAAATGTTAGTTATCAATTTTTAATTTGACTCGCATTATTAAGCGCTAGTTTTAGAAACCCTAGTGAAAAACACCACGGGGCTGATTATAACATGACGTCATATCAATGGTAACATTAAATAGACAGAAAGTTGAAGAATTATACTAAATTAAATCAATAATATTTTCAATAAAATAAATAAATATTTACTTGTCATAAGAGTAGTGATTGAATAAATTGGCGAGGATGGTAACGTCCCATTACTTGTCGAAGGAGTTAATTTTATGTTATATTTAAAACCCGAAACAAGATTATTCAAAAAGTGACCATTATCTGTACTTGATAGTATTTCTTGTACTTCAGATAGTTGATTTTTTGATTGATTTGAACTTAACGTCAAAACATATTTTGTAATATTGCATTCTAGTCGATTTGAGGTACTCTGTGCATTTTATAAAAATAATAATTTGATTATTGATCAATTATGAATAATGTATTATATTTAATGTGTTAGTATTAATACCCTCATATGTTGTATCCATCTTACAAGAGATAAATATCTAACATAAGAAATTAAAACCCAGAATTTCACGTTTTACGCCATTAGCTTGAAAATTAGAGTGAATCGACCTATAATGAAACTTGATAGTAAAAACATTATCTGTGTTTTGTTGGATGTTTTTTTTTATTTTTTATTTCAGTTTTTAAGTGAGTTATGTGTATATAATAAATGTACTCAGTTAAAAACTGAATTATCCTGAAAAAACTTCCAAAAAAAAAGAGATAATGTTTGTACCATCAAGTTTCATATTAGGTCAATTCAATCTTTTTAAGTGAGTTATGATCATATAATAAATATAAATTAAAAATGCTCATAATTAATGAAGTATATAGTTGAAAGTTAATTAAAAATAATAATTCTTACAGATTTAAATGAACTATATATTGTTCTTTGTAATAACACTTACTATACTCCATGTTATGTTGATGCTTTGTATTCCACTCTTTAATTGTATGTTGTAATCAGTAATTTGTGGTTCTAAAAAATGCATTAGATTTATTTCAGTGGCGTAACCAGGAATATTTATTAGGGGGGCAGGGCTATATTTATTTATTATTTCTAAGATAAATCACAGGGTAGTGCCCCCCTTACTTATCTCTCTGTTTATCTAAAATGACTTGTACTGAGAGATTCATCATCTCCTAGTGGAGCCACTGGACGGATTTGGTTGAAATTTAGCATATAGATAGCTATTATGACGTAGGCATCCGCTAAGAAAGGACTTTTGGAAATTCAATCTCTATAGGTCAAAATAAGGGGTTATAAGAATATAACAGTGGCGCCATCTATCAAGCAATATCTTAATTAAAATTTCATTATACTTAATATACAATATTGGTTTTAAAGTACAAAACGTACGAACTTGATATATGGAATACTTAGTGGTTCCTCTAATGATCTAAATATGCAATAAGAAAAGATTTTCTTAAATTCGATTTTTAAAGAGGTGGTAAAACAGGGATCTTAAGATTCAAGGGGGAAATCGAAACTTTTATTTGTTTATTAACAGGTGCAGGTTATATATTATGCGAATTATTTCACAAAGCTAGGTACAATTACGCCAGTTTGTATGTAAAAATAAAATAAAATAAACATCCCCCCCCCCCAAAAAAAAAAATATATTAATATATAAATATTAAATACTCCTAAAAATCCGGGATGATCAACTATGACTTCAATACTGTTTTAGGTACACAGAATACAATTTATTTTTCAACTACAAAGATGTACTGATATATTTACTGATAATCACAAGTTTTTTCCGGAAAAAACAACGGGTTTTTCAGCTAGTATTATATATAAAAAAAAGTGTATGTGTGCAAGCTCGTTCGAATGAAGTGAAAATTCTTTCGTATTTTTTAGTGATATCTGCAGGGCCTGAAAATGAACAATCTTGCAGCAAGGACTAACTAGCATGAGCTGATATGATCTTAGGTTCAAGTTCGTGATACAAAAAATAATTTATTTGTTTGATTCTTTCACATTAAAAAATCATAGGGTGATGTATCCCTCATATATCTCTCCCGTGAATACGCCCATGATATTCTTCAAAGTAATATAAATAAATAAATAAAAAATGTGATGCATTAGGAACCTATTTTTTACCTATATTGTTTTTAGCATTCTTATATATAAAAATCGTAAATGCGTTAATCATATAAAAATATATGAGTATAGATAAATAATTGTAATAATTAATTTTATTTGTGTTTCGATCATTTCTTTGTGTAATCAACAATCATTTCTAATCTTCTATAAATTAATATGTTTAGAAGAAAAAAAAATTTTCACAATTTCATCGAAATAATTATATTTCAAATTCAGAACCCTAATATTACAATATACAGTTATCAAACATAATATTATGTACATGTATTATTGAAAACTAAAATGTTATTTAAATCTCAAATGATGTTAGGTATATAATTGTATCTCTATTATCACAATGTATAATTGTTTAGTTTGTTGAATTAAATTGGACGATTGTTAATCGGATATTAATGTTAGTAGGTACTTACGCATACACGGTGTTTTATATTGACCATATACTATATTTTGTTCATTAAAATCCCCATCATTTGCAATTAACAACACTCCAACCGTATATTTAGTATCCGGTTCTAAGTCACTGATAACTTCTATTGTAACGTTATTAGTGTTGCTTATTGATTTAATTTCAGAGCTTCTAAATGTATTTTCTATTAATGACTATACAAAAATTAGGATTAGTATGTATGTATGATATTATAACCATCTATAAATTCACCTAAAATGATTCGATAGACATTATCTTCTATATGAATGGCATAATACCTATATTAGTCTACGAGTTGCAAAAACCCTATAGGCTATAGTAAGTAATTACATTACTACATATAAATTCAAAAACTCATAAAATAGTAACTTTTAGAATTTAGTACCTATATCTCTTATTTAATTTATACCTAATTAAAGACAATTTTGTAGTGTGTCAAAACGGTAACTGTTGTACAATCAAGTGTGGGGATATCTTACTTTTTTCGAACTTTTTAATTCAATTACATACCTAGTAAATTTGATACTTGGAAAGATACATTATTACATGTTATCCCTTAGGTAGTAATAAATATCAAACATTATTTGTATTAAAAACAATTACCTTATAAAATAATTGATAATATTTTGGCATTATAATTTTGTCTCCTCCTTTTATATTATTTTCTTGAAAATCCAATTCTAGTTCAATCGCATCGTAATTGGCAACACGCAGTGTAGGTGGGTTAATAAGGTATGGATATTCTATAAAATCAAACACATTACAATATAGTTAGTACAACATGTTTTATATTATCGGCATTGTGTATAATCACTGAATAAATATTAAAATCAAATTTTAGATGAGTAATTTATGAGTTATAAGTGAACTTTTAAAGTTTAGTTGAGTGTAGTGGATCAATATGATGACCAAGGTAGTCTATATAGTAAATAGAATATGTACTAAATAAAAAGTCAATAATAATAATAATAATATTCTACCAGGTGGATTATTTTGTATCAGCTCTTGGGACATATATGACGCCGGTCCACTGTGAAATTGTACAGTATAGTTTTATGCCTCAGTCCACCCCTGAGTACTCACTACCTACCCTAGTACTAAGTTCAAACAGGTAAATTAAAATTATTCAAAATAATGAAGTTTATATATTATATGATCGAAATCGTTGTTTAATTTTTATATTTGTGTAAAATATATTATGTTCTAAATATTATGTTTTCGGGTAGATTAGCTATTTAATTTTAATACAATCCAAGAAATGACCTTATTATACAATAGGTATTAATATTATATTATATATGTTTTGATACTTCATATTTAACTGGTCAGTTTTTTTGGTGTTGGTTAGAGGAAATCGTTAAAAACACTAAATTTAAACTTAGCCAAAACAAAAGACCAAGTACTAAAAAATTCGACAACAAATTAAAAAATGTGTTAGAAAAAAATACGTACTGAACTAAAATCTATGTTTAGGATACGTCATAATTTAAATGGCAAAAATCTAGATGAAGATTTCCCAAATAAAACTCCTAGAGAAGTAACAAAATTTAGTTATGTGAAAATTACGTCATGTGATATTGAACAGAGTTTCAGTACCTAAATATAAGAACTCGTATTAAAGTCAAAGTCTAGAGCGTTCCAAGTAATTCATTAGATTAGCTTTAATCCAAAACAGGTTTCTTTCCTACATTGCCCATATTATGAAGAAAGTACACCCTCCTCATGCTTACTCCTTATTACGTAGTATATTGGAAATACCATGCCGACAAGATGCTCATGAGCACTTCATAACCTCGCTCCTAAGTGGCACTATAGATGCTCCTGATATCCTCTCCAACGTAAGTCTTCGAATCCCTTCCTTCTTCTCCATAAATCACACCCTCTTTCAAATACCAACCCACAATACATCCTATGGACACAATCATCCATTACATAGAATGCCACGTAAGCTAAATAATGCTAATTCAGATTTTTAAAAATGTATTACCTAGTTATAAATTTGCTGTACTAGACTATACGCAATGTTACTATATTATGTTTATACTGAGTTTTATTTTCTAGATTATGTTTGGTGTAACTGTGTGTTATAAACATTTACTACATATTAATATATTAATTTCAAATGTAATCATAAAATTGCCGTTCGGAGTATATATATGTATATATAAATAAATAAATAAATAATTTTAAAGATAATTTTAAAGATTATAGAATTTGTTCTAATCAGTTCTTCAAAACTTTTTTATAACGTTATGAGTATAACGTTAAACGATTCAAAAACGATTGAAATCGATAACGGATAACATATGGGTAAACGATAAACGATTGGAAACGGATAAAGGATAACGAAACAGAAACAATAAACAATTGAAACATATAATTGCCTGAAAAAAAAATATTTATAAAATTATCACTTTCATTAAAATATATATTATGGTTATTTTTGTAATATTATATTTTTCAATCCTTCGAATTGTGTAGGAAACAAGCTATATCCATCAAATAACGGTGAACGCTTCATAACGTTTAAATTTTTATAACTTCAAAGTTTAAACGCATAAATTGAATTACGTTTAAATTCTTTATAACGTTAAACAGTCATTTGATCATAACGTTTAATATCCATATATAACGGTAAACGGTATTATTATTTTTGATTTAAGCCCTGGTTCTAATTTATTCGTCATTTTAACATATTTTTTTGCATATTTTCAAACATTTTTAATAAAACAAATGCATATTAATTTATCATTTTTTTACACATTTATCCTAGCCCTAGTCATATGTAACTGTTGAGTTTTGTTGGTGATAGTGGTATGGGAGAGCTAATAATTTGAAAGGGGATGTTAGCTTAGTCTTCCTATTTAGTCTTTCCTATTTATGCTTTTAATTTGAGACCAGATTTTAACATTAATAAATTAATGTAGAAAATATTAAAATATAGTTAAAGATTTAAGCATGACTTTAGTTATTAAGTATTGATAAAAGTGTAAGCTCATATTCGATTTTTCTTTATACAAATAATTAAAAATAAATTAGATAGTCAATTTTGTTCATACATGTATTAGTTTATATTTGAGACTTTCTAGGCTTAAATCATCCAAAAGTCGTTTCTTTTTCCTTTTAATCAAATGTAGTTCATTAAATACGCACTTACGATAATAATGAACATGTTTATTCAGTTTAGGATAATGATGTATACTGAGTAAAATGTCTATAGTTACAACTAATGTAATACTCAATTTTTAATATCTTGTTAATTCATTAAATAATATTCTTATAAGATAATTATAACCTATAGAAATAATATTATTAATTTAATCAAAATTTAAAATTTTAAGAAATATGCTAATATGCAAATATTAGAATTATTACCAGATAGGTGACAGTCACAAACAGTTTGTTTACAATTAAATATTTATACCAGTCAACGTATTTCATTAATTTAGTCTAATAATGAATGTTCTAACAAAATAATCTTACTTTCACTGCAATGTGGTAGTATATACCCAACTGAACAACCATATAAGCAGGCACCTGTATATTGATCACACGTATTATTAAGACAATGATCGGAACATGTTTGTTTACAACCAGCTCCATATGTACCCATTGTACAGTCTAAATCATTAAATAACAAATATTCAATTAACTATGGATGACAAACATTTTTTTTTATACAATCATATTCTTCAAGCTCATATTCTCAATTATATTTATTACTTACCTTCGTCACACGATGGACCGGTTAATCCCGCTGGGCATGTGCATCCATAACTTGTACACATGAACATTCCACGACACATTTTATCAGACTGTAAAGAGCATACTCCTTTACAGTCAGATCCATAGGAGTTTCCTCCGCAACCTAAAATTGTTTAGTTATTGAATTGCTGTTAAGTCGAATTCAGACATTTAGACTTTCAGACGCGGGTCTAACTATTTATTTATCCTTTTCAGTTTTTATACACCAAAATAATGTATAAAATGGTTTATATGTTTTGCAAAATCGCATTTTAAATTGATTTCAGTTTATAGATCTAATATTGCGATTAGGCGCACAAAAATATCGTGATTAAAATCCAATAGTACAAGGCCTTATAACCTATTTTATATCCTTAATAGCCTAATATAATACCTATCAGGGTTAACTAAATATAGTGTTTGAAAATTTCATGAAATTTAAAGAAATGAAATATTTCAAATGTGTGAAATATTTCAGTTTTTTAGTTAATTTTGTTTTATTTTTAAATAAGTTTTATATTAACATATAATTGTCATAATTCACCTTCATAATTTTAAGGTACCTCAATGTATACCTAACCATTGGTATTATACATTTAAAATGGTATTCAACATTTTTAAATATTTAAATGATACAAGTAGGTAGGTATACAATAGTATACATGTTTATTGTATACCTACTGAATTCTAACATTAGAATTTAGAACACTGAACATTGTGTTAAAAAAATAAATAAATTGTGTTTTTATTTATGTTAAAAAAAATGTCAATGTTTCACATTCTTTTCAGATTTTATACACCAAATAATAATGTTTAAATTTGTTTATACTTTTAGATTCTGAGTGAAACGATGATTGTATTGATTTTACGGTGATGACGTGTGTTTTTTTTTTAATTTTTTTAATTTTTTTTTTTTTGTGTGTGTCTTTTTACTCGATAAGTAGTCTAAATAATGATTCGATTTTCAACTTCAGTATCTTGTTTGAGAAAGTAAATATTGTTGGTGCATTGGGGAGGTCAAAATATAAATTTCTAAATAGTTTTCAAGAGCCTGGAAAAAAAAACATACAAATTAAGAAGAAAACTGGAATTTTTACGCAAAATAGATTTTTTACAAAATCGACTTTGGTTTTTCTTGTTACTTTAAAACAAATGACTGTAGATAGGTACATGATAAAATTGTCAAAATATTTTGATTTATTTTGAGCTGTTTATGGACATTTTCAGTTTCCAATGTTATTAGTTTTTTTTCTATAAATATCAATAAAACTTTATTTGTTGAGTAAAAATACTTGACAATTTAATACAAAGCTCCTACTATATTTATACTCGTACAATGTCATTTGAAAAATATTGAAAATCCTTAGTCACAGTTTTTTTTTGTAAGCATTTAAAGTTCAAAAATTGACAAAATATGGAAATATCACGAAAACTATTTTGATTTAAGATTTCGTATAACATTTTTGTTTTTAAATCTAAAATTTGAAAATGTAATACAAGATTCCTCATAAGTTTATCTACGTTTATCAAAAAAAAATGTCTACAAGTGTCTACAAATTAAATTTTTATGAGCGTTTGAAGTTCATATATTTACAAGATTGGATATTCACTCGATTTCTCATATAGGTTTCGTTATTTTATTCTTATTCAAAAATGAATAACTGTAGATACATGGAAATTTTACTGAATGTTTATAGTTTAATTTTCTATCATCGCCATTTTGATTGACTCTTTTGTTTACTGACATTGTCAGTTTTCAATTTTTTTTTGTTTTTTTTTTCTATAAATATCAATAAAATTAGATTTGTTGGGTAAAAAGAGTGAACATTTAATGCAAGGCTCTTGATATACTGTTACAATAGCAGTTGAAAAATATTAAAAATCCATATGCACAATTTTTTTTTATAAGCATTTAATGTTCGAATTTTGACAAAACTTATCAAATTTAAAATTTAATAATTATTTTGTAGTTAAAAATTTATAAAATGTTTAAATTTTATAGGTAAGGATTGAACATTTAAAACGAGGTTCCACGCAAATAGGTACATAAATTACTTTATTCACAATAATATCACCAAATATACTTAGTAATATAATAGGCTGACTGACCATTTTCGCTCAGAATAGTTTTTCTTACACAATTATATTATATTATCATTGAGTTCAAATTTAACACAATCCATTACAGTGACCCACTTGTAACCTTATGTACAGCAGAGCGACACCCACTTGCTCACCTTTTTTACTTACCTACTTATTTAGAGACTACTTTTATATAGAGGGCTTAGCCCCGATAGCAATTTTGTAATGATAATATTATCATTACAAAATTGCTATTGGGGAGATATAATTTTGTCCCTCTGTAATCTCTAATAGTCAGTATAATTGAACTTGAAGCAAGATTATTATTTTTTTTATGTATATTTTATATTATAATTATTTATTTGACATTAAAATGTTATATATTTTATATTATATAATAGGTACACTTTAAATTATGCTTATTTTATTATACATCGTAACTATTGGAGACCTTATATAAGAAGCTTAGATCATATAATAATAGACAGAGCTACGTGTGTCGCTCTTATATCAATCTGTGTACAAAATAATAGTCATCGCCCACTTCATTTTTAGGTGGGTGGTTGACTGGGAGGAGGGACGCTTAATGTCAGGCGTCGATTTGTTCGGGGGGAATGTAGAAATGTTTGAAGGGAAATTGGGCAAGTGCGAATCTATCGTTACCCCTTTATTTAATTATTTATTATATTGATTTTATTTGTATATTTACTATAACAATAAATAATAAAGGTATAATTTTTCATTACCTGTCTCACAAAATTGCCCTTTAAAACCAGGAGGACAAACACATTTTGATGATTGCTTAATAAAATATCCACCATTTAAACATGGACCTTGATAATTAGAAGGTTCGACTAAACCTGTTTAAACAATTATAAATTACAATGTATTAAAATTATTATTTTACGTCTTTATATAGATGAAATATTTATAAATTATTTCTAAGGCTGTGAATTTAATGCACTAAAAACTATGAAATACGCATGCACTTAATAATACGCTCATAATTTATGGAATATTCAAAATTATGTGGGTAGTTAATAATTTAATACAAATTAATTTATGTAAAATAAACTTTTTGTATTCAAATATTTTGTACAGCTATTAGCTTTGTTATAGAAATCAAATTTGGAGACATCCCCCTTACAATTGTGCAAAAAGAAAACAGTTTAAACGCATTTATATGCATAATACATCTTGAATGAAATTTTTATTTCAATCAGACATATTAAAAATGTGCACCCATGTTTATAACTCAAATATATACACTATTATACAGGAATATATAAAGTATATAAAAAAAAATCCGCACCAGTGCTCCACATACCTACTTATGTGGTACAACATGAGAACGTATTTTGCACTCTCGCATATAAATTATTATGGAGCTCTATCGCTTGTACACTCTGTGTTCTGTCCAATTCGATATTCCCCATTTCCTATTCCCTATACCATGTGGTGAACGGCCATCGGTGTGTAAATGTGGTGTAAGCAGATAAAGGGCTCCGATGAAACCAACTAGCTTGTTTTGTGGCGGGAATGCGCAAGAATGAACTATTTTTGTTTGTCACTCAGATTCGTTTTCTCGTGGAGCGGAGTGTATTAGATGATTTATTATTATTTGTAATAACTAATCCAGAGTTTTAGTAGAGCAGAGCTAACTAAGATAAAAGAGCTCGTGACACGAGGAGAGTGTATTAAAAAACGGCCAACTCGTATTTAATCTGTGAATTTTAAGAAAAATGGTCCGACCTCTCTGCAGCCTAAACTTATGAACTGATTGACTTTAAAATGTACACGATTTGATCAGTATGCTATGTAGATAATACTTTTATAAATTTCAAGTCGATTGTAGGATTACAGCCTCAGTAATATGCATAAGTATTAGCATAGTTATTTATCGAAATGCTATATAAAATAGGATAGTTATATAGAGAATTTTTTTTTTTGGTCAAGAACGAAAAATAATTCTGGTTAAGCATTTCGTTTTCGTTCTATAAAATAATTAATTATGGTTTCGTTTACGTTCATGTAAATTTTCCAATATAACCAATTATTAACAAAACCGGTTTCAACCGGTTTAAAGCCCTGTAATAAATGGCAACACGGCTTGTATTTTATATTCTAAGATTTTTAGTATTTGTTGTTATAGCGGCAACAGAAATACATAATCTGTAAAAATTTCAACTTTCTAGCTTTCATGGTTCATGAGATACAGCATGGTGACAGACCGACGGACGGACGGACCGACAGAGGAGCCTTAGTAATTGGTTCTTAGTAATCCGTTTTATGGTACGGAACCCTGAAAATTACTAATGTCTCAACAAAAACACTTAGTGTAAAACACCTCGCTAAAAAAAAACTCAATTTAGAAAAGTTGTGATATCAAAAAGGGGCTAAGTAATTTCTTGATTTCATTAATATAGAAATTATTTGTATTTGATGAAGTGCGATAATTTAATACAAATAAATTAACTTAGATAGGTGGCTACTTATAGTATACTAATGATATTTCCGGGGAGCAGAGTGTATTAGATGATCAATTATTATGTATTAATAACTAATAATTAATATTTAATAACTATATATTTAGTGTAGAGCACTAATAAATAATTATAATATCGTTACATACTTTTTTCATTTTTATCAATAATTATATTAAGATGTATATTAATTAATTTATGTTTTTTTAAAATACATACGGTTTCCCAGAATATTGAATGGTTTTGGCTTTTTTCCAGAAACATTATCCATAGAAATAGTTCGAACTTCTTCTTCGTCTGCGGAAAAATTAAATATATAATATTATAACATAACCTATTCAATTTTGGTCATTGTGAATATCATATACCTATTCATTATGTTTGGACGGATTCGATAAATCCCACGATATACAGTAGTTACGTCAGTAGATACCTATACAAGGTGATCATTTTATTATGAAACACTCACATTATTTCAAAAAGTATTAATGTTTTTGAAAATATATTTTTACATAGTTTCAAGTTGTTAAAAAACAAAGTTTTTATTAAAAAATCATATTTTTTTTATATTTTTTACTTTTTTGAATGACATCAGAGTTTGAATTTCATATTCCAAAGCAGAATATTTTTCTAAGCATTTTGATACATAAAAATCGAATTTAGAGCGAGTAGTATATGAGTTATATAAGTATTTAAAGAATAGACAAGGGAAGTAGTGGAAAAACATTTTGCGGGGTAACCCCGTACCACTCCACTCCGACCATTTAAACTTTAAACACTTATAGGTTATAACTCATAAACTACTAGCTCTAAATTCGATTTTTATGAATCAAAATGCTTAGAAAAAAATTCTGCTTTTAAATATGAAATTAAAACTCTATGTTGTCATTCAAAAAAGTAAAAAACTTAAAAAAATATAAGGATTAAATAAATAATTGTTTTTTTAACAACTTGAAACTATGTAAAAAAATATTTTCAAAAACATTAATACTTTTTGAAATAATAAGTGTTTCGTGATAAAAGAATCACCACGTATGTCCTAAAAGTTCCATAACATCTTAATCATCTCCGTGGCTAATCAATATACTAAATAAGGAATTCTCATCGATAGTCTATAATAGGGAACAAAATTTCAAAAAAAAAAAAGGTTCTGACGAAATTCATTTTTTATCGTAAAATAATATAAATATATATTATCGTATCCCGCATTTCCGCCAATGATGTTTTGTTGTTACGTATTTTCCTAATAATTATTAATGAATATTGACATTACTGATTTGTCAATCGTGGGATGTCTACCTATATATTTTATCTACAACTTACAAGTAATATTAATTATATAACTTTTGAAAATACAGGTGATTGATTTTCTGGGAAATACACTCTCTCACATAAATAAAAATTTGATACCTATGTAACTACTTTATTTTTAGAACAAATATTGAATAGATTAATTTTAAATTTTAATACAATAATACATTGATAAAACTGCATAACCGGTTTCTTTATATATTTTTTAAAATTTTTTTTTTTACATAGATTATTTTAATTTATAATCGTAATAAATGCATTTTTTAATTTTCCAAAAATTCGTTTTTTTTTTAATTTTCCGAAAAATTTGGTTTTTTTCGGAAATGTATTATTTTAATATTCTCCAATTTTTCCAAGTTTTCCGAGGCTCTGGGAAAAAAAACAAATATTTTCCGAAATTTTCTATAATATGACAAATGTATGCCGTTAAATTGGAATTATTATATTAAATAATTATATTACTGTAAAAAAAACAGCATTTGAATAAATTGATGTGTCATGAATCATGATCTTACAAAAATAATTATAGTGATACGAGATTTTTGGGATTATTACTTACCAAAAGTCTAAAAGAATAATAATATTTTTTTTTTAAATATTAATATGCCATAATTTAAAGTTGTATTGTTTTGGATAAATCTTTGGATACAATCTACATTATAATTTGAATATATTATATTATTATAAATATTAAAATTTATATATTACCTGTACCTACCTCATATTAAAATTACACCATAGTTTACAACCGACTATACATTTGAAGTCAGAATATTTTAATATACATTTAAGTCTTAAGAGGACGCTACAAAAGTATTTGTTGTCTCCGTCTTACAAGTGCCTAACATATCCTACACATTCTTTGGAAAATGATTGAACTATTATGAAACTTGATGGTAAAACCATTATAAGTGTTTGAATGTGAATTGTTGACGATACCTACTTCAGTTTTTAGCAACTGTCTAGTATATAAAATAGCGTAGGTACATTAAAAATGCTCATAACATACTTAAAAATTGAATTATCGTAAAAAAGTCACATACAAACATATGAAATGTTCTTACCATCAAATTTTATAATAGGTCTATGTCAATACATTCCAATTTTTAAATTAACGAAGCTAAACTTTATCAGCTGAGCGTATGCTTGTTATGTTAAGTATTTGTAAGATGGAGATAGCAATTGTCAGTGTAGCGTTCTCTTAAGAGGACGCTACCCATACATTTGTTGTCTCCTTCTTACACACGCACGACATAGCAAATTGTCGTTCACTAGTTTCAATAGTATGCAGTTAGTTTTGATACTAGAGTGAATTGACCTATTATAACATATTTCGATAATAACATTATCTGTGCTTAAGCGTTGGTTTTTATTCGATATTTTAATTTTCAAGCGAGATATGAGAATTTTAAATGTTTGATATTTCACGTACACAGATCTTACTTGAAAATGAAAATATTCTAAAAATCGATAACCCCTAAGCCCAGATAATATTCTTACCTAATTGTATGATAATAGATAAATTCACTCTAATATTAAAACTAACAACACACTATTTAAACTAGCGAATGGAAATTTGATATGTCATGCGTGTGTAAGACGGAGACAACAAATACATGGGTAGCGTCTTCTTTATTTATAGTAACAAAAAATAATAGTACACTACGCAAGTGTCTAAAAACCAACATTCGTTTTTATTTATTTTCAATCTTGATAAGTATAATTTTATTGTTTTGTATATTTTACCATAATTTGAACATTGAGCAATTCGTATGAGTCCAAATTTAAGACTTTGATCGACCCATTGAGATTCATATCTGTTCGTCGCAGTTAATTTTAGTGATAATTTGTATTGCTGATTGTTCTTAAAATCAATGTTAGTAATTTTCAATGTTATAATACCGTTCTGCATAAAAAATAAATGTCACTATTATTACTTATTATTATTCTAATTTCTAAATAAAAAATAATTATAATCTTTGATTCAGTCAGTATCTATAGTATTACAAATTATTACATAATTCTCCAATACGGTTGAAGATATCGAGATATTATTATATTCATCTTTTACATCCATCGTGATAAAATAAAGCTTGTCTGATTCATATTTGGTATAATATGTCATTGTTAAACACGTTTGATTATCTTTATCGGGTGTCCAATAAAATGTGAAAAAATTACAGGTAACAGGTGAATCATAATTCTTGTAACTCTTTGTCAAGCACTTTTCGAAGCTATAATATTCATAATAATTATAGCATTTATTCAATTGGTTTCCTGAAACTCATTAACACAGTATATTAGTACAATGTAGGTAATTGTTAAATTTTTGGAGTGTATTTAAAATTTAAAAAACATTGACGTTATTAAAGTAACAGAACACTGAATTGAATGCATTCGTATGTATTTTTTTGTGGTTTGTAAATAGAATTAGTCTCTATAAATGTCTCTTTAAATTAATATAGTAAATACATAATATACTAGTACAAAATTACACCTTGTATTTTGCACATATTTTTAAAAAAAAATATCATAGAAACATAGGTACATTTCATATTTAAATAATTGTCTGTTTTTTTTTTTATATAATATAATGAATGTCAATAAAAATTGTTTCACTAGGTCTTTATATTAAAATTGTATACAAGATTCCTCTTAAGTTATGGATTAAAGTCATAATAGTATAATACTGTAAGGTACATGGCACAGTTATACAATTGTTATTAATATTATTATTATTATTATTATAATTGTTAAAATGTATTTGTTAATGTTTTTACGCCAGTAGTCTTGCAACCGCAGAGACGTCAAGCAGTGAGTAGTCGATTCTGTTGATAAAATCAGGTGTTTAAGACATAAATTATTTAAATATACCCAAATGTTTTGTTGTTCGACTCTCAGTTTTTTTTACTCTCCATGAAAATACAGACATTTAGTCTTTACCAATAAGTGAATAAATATCAAATAGTTTTTTCTACTTTAATAAAAAATGGAAGCTTTTTATTCCTGACACTTCATATATTAAGTATAATATTTTTGAGTAATGAAGCCCTTTCTCCAAATGTTATTTTGAAAACTGTTTCATTACTAATAGATTGAAAAATCAGGAGGTTTTTTACATTATAATGAAGCTTAAGGAAGATACTACAAAATGTTGAAACATGTAATAGAACATATAATTGATCCTCTAACTTACATTTATAATTTAAGCTTAAAAATGGCATTCTCCCTGAAATATGGATACTAGCAGTTATTAAGCCACTTTTCAAAACAGAAGATAAGTTAAATACATATTATACCAATATCTATGATAAGCAATTTCTCAAAGTTATAGAAAAAATTAAGTGGGTCAATGTATAATGTATTGTATTAAACTTAAATCCAATGATACAATATCATTGTATAAGACGAATTATTCTGAGAGGAGACGGTTTATCAGTCTGAATTTTTTTAATTTTTATTATTTATTAAAGCCTTTAAGTTGAATTAATATTATAATATTATAATTTTTTATTCGTTGGTACGGTGATAAACAAATCGTTATAAATTAAAATCAAATTTTAAGCGGTTTTTCGAAATTTGTCAGTAGTTTTTCCCGTGGCATTAAATAACTTTTTTGAGAAAATCGAAAAATGAAATCTCTGAAGTACCATCTTGATCCAATTTGCTAAAAGATAATTTACTATATGTTGAAATCGAAGCACCCCTTCTGGTAGAAATTTTGCATACAGGATATAAAAAAAAATAAAAAAATTAATAAACACCATTGTAAAACCACTATAGCTTCCTCGCACCACTCAGAATCTAAAATAATACAAATGGGTAAATAAATAACAAATGTAAAGCTAAACAGACTACACATCAGCCATACAATATATACTGACCCATGTCCTATACCTATCCAAAAAGTATATAAAAAAAATAAAAGTAATTAGTTAGATAGCATTATATCTATATAAAATATGTTATTTAGGTAGACTATATTATATCAAACATATTGTAGTGAAACAAAAACTATCAAACATAGTGCTACATAAAAAAAAAAAACATTGATCACCATTTCCCTAGATGTCTTGGTCCCTAAATGTGCATTTAAAACGAAATCAAAATGATACTAACTTCAAATTACCAAATACCTATTGAATAAGAAATTTAAATCTTTTATAATATGTGATAAACGTAATGACTAATTTATACTGTATTCAAATTACCTGAATCCAGCGATTGATATCCATTCTTGTTACAAACGGCTCCTAAAGGTAATAAACATGATTTATTGAAAACAATCATAAAATAATATACCACATACTTACACGATAAAATCGCATTTCAATTTTTAAATATTATTAGGACATATATTTTTCCGGGAAAGAGGGACGGCAAATAAAAGAAATTTCTTTCAAATTATAACACTTTTATAACCCATTTCAGGTCATTAGAATCCGTGCTCCAATAATAAGTAATAACTTACCATTTAAGTTTATACTTTTTCGACTCCAATCATTTGAGTTATACGAAGTACTCATTCGACTATTATTCTGAAATGATCCAAAATTTATGATTTCTTTTATATTCGTTGATGTAATAGGAATATCACCATCAAAGTCTATTGGCAGTCCAGTAGCATTAGTTCTTGAGTGTATTTCAATAACTGAATTCATTCCATTGTAGGTTCCTAAAACCATTCATGAATCCGTTTAGCAATACAAAACAACATACACATTTAGAGTGAAAAAAATCGATTCATATTTAAGTATTATTTAAAAATTAAGATTAAGTATAATACAGTATAATTTTATAATGTTTACATGCAATTTAAATACAAGATACCAAATACAATTAAATAATTTAAACTAATGTTAAGTTATTAATTATATCACAGGCTAATTCACAGCGTTTCATGGTAGGTACGTAAGTAGATTCTTGTCTGCATTGACTTATTTTGTTAATAGCACTTAGAAGGTAAATATAATATAATATACCTAATAAATTCATAGGCAGATACTCATTACAATATCAGGGAGGGCTAACATTATTAACATCCATGTGAGCCGGGAATAACATTCAACTAAACAAGATGGCTTGCCGGATTTTATTTTATTATTATTATTTTTTTTTTTGGGGGGGGGGGGGCATATGCTCACCTCCTAAAATATCCCGATTTCCACCTTTTTATAATTTTTGCGATATTTTTAGAAAAAATAAATTAAACATCCCGTATTAAATGCTAATATAATTAATATAAATAATCCTAATGTCAAATAAATTAATTTTAATTTATTGTCAGAAGTTGAAGGTACTCGAAACCATTCATGAATACGTTTAACAATACAAAACAACATACACATTTTGAGTGAAAAATTTAATTCATATTTAATTATTTAAAAATTAAGGATTTTATAATCTCGAGGAGTACAATTGTATAATGGTTACATGCAATTTCAATACAAGCTACAAAGTACAATCAAATTATTTAAATTTATTTTAAGCTATTAATTAAACCACAATCTTATTCAAACCATTTCACTGTAGGTACCTACGTATATTTGTCTTTATTGACTTATTATGTTAATAACAGTACCTACCTATAATATAATATGATATTATATTATTGTAATATATGCGATGTTTTTAGAAAAAATAAAATAAATATACCTATCGTTTTAATAGAAAAATAAATTACTCATAATAATAATGTTAAATAAATAAATTATAAAATGTTCTCAGAAGAATAATTATGTAAACTGTAAATTACGATAGTAGATGAATAAAATAGTTTATTAAAATTAGGAAATTAGAAAGAGCGCAGTCACTCTTTATGTGATCCACATTTAGATACCAAATGAAAAGAATAAATTCACTTTTTTTAATCAAGTTAAATTAATATATTTTTTAAAATTAACTTATAACTTATTGAGTTCATTTTATGATTTGTTAACTGTTAACTTCCAACAAATCAAACTTGTGTTCCCATAAATTAACTTGAGTTAATTACTTTTATTAACTTGGCCACCTTTATAAATAAGTACATATAGATCCATAGAGGTATGATAAATTTAGAACTGTATCTAATGGTTGTATACGATATACAATATACATAGTAAGGTAGGTAATTTAAGTACAAATAATAAAACTTTTTATACATTTAAACATTAGTTGTGATTGTTGAACCACTATTTGTTTATAGTAAATTAGTAAAAATCAAATGATAATAATTTACAAACCATTGCTGCTATTGAATGACGTCATATTTGTGACTCTATAAATTGTTGTAATGTCAAAATCTTCGTAAGCATCTAAAATAAAAACAAAATAATTATACAAATTCACTTGCATAAGTTAATATAATATTTAAATACGACAAACATTGCATGAACCTATGGGCTAGGATAAACTTAGTTTATATTTATTACTTATTATCCCTTAAGAGGACGCCACACCCGCATGTGTTGTCTCCGTCTTACAAACGCGTAACATAGCAAATTACGTCCACGGAAAACAAACGAATCGGCATCAAAAAGTGGTTTTAGAGTAAAAATACCTATAATAAAACTTAAAGAGAACAATATTTTGGAGGGAACCTCATCGGCGTTTTTAAAAATATTAATTATTAAAAAAGTTGTGGTTATTTAAAAAAATTAAAAAAAAGAGTTTTTGTGCCTTCAATATCTAGCTGTGTATTTAGATTAATACAAAACCCCGATGAGGTTCCCTCCGAAATATTGTTCTCTTTAAGTTTTATTATAGGTATTTTTACTCTAAAACCACTTTTTGATGCCGATTCGTTTGTTTTCCGTGGACGTAATTTGCTATGTTACGCGTTTGTAAGACGGAGACAACACATGCGGGTGTGGCGTCCTCTTAAATATACCTCGTACATATTATACAATTAAGAAATAAAAATGTTTTTGGTGTTAAATAACCCTTATACTGTCTCATAATGGTGTAATTTCCTTTCACACTGACCCATTAATTTCCCTTAGAGGCGTTCTTAAATAGTGCTAATGGTATTATCAGTATTTTAGAATACCGGTATACCGTTATTTGGTAATAATTGCAAAATTTGAACTCTGAGAATGTGGCTGGAGGAATTTCAATCGGTAATTATTGTTTACTACTGGTGTCTTTGAAAATACCATACCCTGGTAAATATCGAAAAACGGTATTTTACGTAGGTACAATTATCTACATAGGTACCTAGGTAGTTTAGAAGTGTGTAAACCCAGAAAAATGTTATATCTAATTTGAAAATTACTCATGTTTGTTATTTTATAATTATAATTATATAAATATTAATCTATAAAAGTTTACAGTATTTTTGGTAATTACTGTTGTTACAGTTATCGTGCCACGGTAATTGCCAAAAATAGCGTAAACTTTTATAGATTAAAATTTATATAATCATAATTATAAAATAACAAACATGAGTAATTTTCAAATTAGATGTAAAATTCACAACACGTAAATAAAAACTTTATCTGTGCAACAGAATAATTGTACAGCTTTTTTTTTGTAATAGCACTATCTCCAATCGTAAGGAAAACAAAAAAGTCTCTCTGCTGTACAGTAAGTTACAAGTTTGTCATTGTAATGTGTAATGGATGGTGTTAAATTTGAATTCAATGATATAATATCATTGCATAAGAAAAACGATTCTGAGCGTAAACGGTCAGTCAGCCTGTGATATTAAGAAGTATATTTTATGATATAAATGTGAATAAAGTAATTTATATATAACCTATTTACGTGGAATCTTGTTTTAAATTTTCAATCCTTAGCTATAAAAGTTGAAAATTTTTTAAACTTATAACTACAAAATAATTATTACATTTTAAATTTGATAAATTTTGTCAAAATTCGAAATTTAAATGTTTATAAAAAAAAAAAGTTAATATGTATTTTTAATATTTTTCAACTGCTATTGTACCAATATATCAGAAGCATTTAATTATTTTCAAAATTGTATCATGTAAAGAAAATACTAATATAAATATTCAGTAAAATTTTAAAGTTTCTACAGTCATTAGTTTTTTAATTTCGACCAAATAAGAAAATCGTTATACATGAGAAATCGAGTGAATATCAAATGTTGTAAAAATATAAATTTCAAATGCTCATAAAAATTTACTTTGATTTGCATGTAGAATTTTTTTTTTTCGATAAATGTAGACAAATTTATTAGGAATCTTCTATACCATTTTCAAATCTTAGTTTTAAAAAGAAAAAGGTGCTCTGCTGCACAGTAGGTTACAATTTGGTCACAATATAATGAATGGTATTAAATTTGAATTCAATGATATAAAATCATTATATAAGAAAAATGATTCTGAGAGGAGACGGTATGTCAGTCGTACCTAGACTAAGGAATATTATATACTTATCTATGGTGTATTAAAAAAATTGACCTATTATAGGTACCTATAATAAATTCCAAATTAATCACATCACAATATCCATTAGGAACTTATAACGAGTTATACATCAACAACAAACCCTGATACTATCATAGATATATAATAGTGTACTTTAGAAAGTTCAAGTACCCACGAGTAATATTATAAAATCACAACGAAATAACTAAAATAGTTATTCTAGGTTTTTTTATGTAATTTCACCCAAATTTGAACTTAAAATGACTATAAAAATAAACGGCGAGTATGTATTTTTTAGATTTTTTGGTAACATAATTAAATACTTATGTTTAATCTTGTTTTAAATTTCAATCCTTAGCTATAAAAGTTGAAAATTTTATAAATTATTAACTACAAAATAATTATTCAATTTTAAATTTGATACATTTTGTCAAAATTCGATCTTTAATTGCTTATAAAAAAAAATTGTTCCTATGTATTTTTAATATTTTTCAACTGATACTGTAACAATATATCAGGAGCCTTGTATTAAATTTTTACATTTTTTGGCCCAACAGATAAAACTTTATTGATATTTATAGAAAAAAAAACTAAAAAAAATTGAAAGCTGTAAATGTCCGTAAACAGCTCAAAAAGATTCAAAATATTTTCAAAATTGTATGGCGTATAGGAAATGCCAATATAAACATTCAGTGAAATTTTCATGTATCTACAGTTATTCGTTTTTGAATTACAACAAAATAAAGAAATCGCTACATGAGAAATCGAGTGAATATGCATTGTTGTAAAAATTTGAATTTCAAACGCTCATAAAAATTTAATTTGACTTTCTTATGGACATTTTTTTTTTTTGATAATGGGAGATAATCTTATAAGGAATCTTGTATAACATTTTCAAATCTCAGATTTAAAAAGAAAAATTTTTAAGAATTCTTAACTCAAAATAATTTGTTAATTTTCGTGATTTTTCAATATTTTGTCAATTTTTGAACCTTAAGCATTTAAATGCTTATAAAAAAATTTGTGACAAATTATTTTTAATATTTTTCATCTGCCTTTGAAAAAATATACTAGGAGCCTTCTTTTAAATTTCCAAGCTTTCGCAACCAACAAATAAATTTTTATTGATATTTTTAGAAAAAAAATAAAAAAAAATGGAAAATGAAAATGTGCCTAAACAGTTCAAAATAAATCAAAATATTTTGAAAATGTTATCGTGTATAGAAAATGCAAATATAAACAACCAGTGAAAATTTCATGTATATACGTTCATTTGTTTTAGAGTTACACCAAAAACCAAAATTAATTTTTTGGAAAACCAATTTTGTGTAAAAATTCCCGTTTTTCCTTAATTTTTATGTTGTTTTTCCCGGCGCTTGTGAAAACTACTGGGAAATTTTTACTTTTGACCCCCCCTACCCAAAGTACCAACTAGATTCACTTTCCTATCAGAAAAGATACTGTTGAAGAAAATCCAAGCACTTTAACTGTCCAATAACGTGATGACTGACACAAAAAAAAATTTAAAAAAAAAATAAAAAAAAACACACATCATTGTAAAATCAATACATTCATCGTTTCACTCAGAATCTAAAAACGAAATGTTATAAGTAAATAACTTTTATTGTATTTATATTATCTAAAATTTAGGCACACTGTTGCATAGATCATTTTCTACCCTATATGTTCATAAATTTTGGAGCCACTACTACAAACACAGAAAGATAAAAGTTGTCCCGCGTAAAATAGTTTGTGGTATGTTGTACATTTTTTAGACGGATACTTCTTAATTATTGTTCACTAAGTTATCAAGTATTACAATTAGTACACTTACAATTAGCATAATGTTTTATAAGTTATAAATTCATAAATAATTAAATCCAATACATTTTCATAATAATTGAATCGGTGCTTACCATGTTTATGACGATACAATGAAATTGTGCTTTCAGAAACGTTCAAAATGTGTGTGCAAATCAAGATTAATACATACAATTTATTGTTGCTTTTATAAATCATATTGAATCAATATTTTTCTCATTAAATTCTTAAAACATAACACAATATGAATTGTTAAAAATATTAACTGGACAGTTTGTAATAAACTAAATAAAATATCGAGAATAAGAGTAAAGGTAGGTATTTAGCAGGTAGGTACAACACATTTTTATCATTTTTAAACGAATATTAATATGAAAGGTTAGGTCATGGACTATAATATTAATGTGCATTATATATATTTATATTTATAGATATTTATTAAATGCTCGTACCTATTTAATCAATGATTAGATTATGCAACAAGTTATATTTATGTTTATGTCGCTTATTTTTATTTATGTCGCTGTTATTTCTTATATAGAATTCATTAATGTGATATTTATAAGTTATAACCATACAATGTTTAGCTTAATTTATTAGGTCATATCATAAGGGAATATTATTTATCTATCAGACAATGTAAAAAAAATATTGTCTTATTAAATTTGGAACTTTTTGTAATAAATAAAAACATCAAAAAGGTTTATAAAAGAACACTGAAGGTTTAGACTTTAGACTCATGCTTTGGCCTTTGCATATCATAGTCTTAAATTTGTCGTAATTAAATACATATGTATATTTACTATAACCATACCAATATTATCATCACTATTATATTTATCATATTATATCTTATCAAATGTATTTATTATAGCAGTACCTATTACCTATACGTGTTTGATAATATTTCATTATATTTTATCTATTAGGCATCAGTAAAATTTTTTCCGTATCCCCGACATTTTTAAACCGTGATGTTTAATGAGTGCGTAATAAGGTATTTAGGCAGGAAATTAGGTATCCTAACTTACATAAGCTAGGTTACGAGCTACTTAAGGGGCATCACCGTTTTTGGCCAAAATGTACCCTTCCCTTTTCCGCCAGTAACTACAGTTTTATTTAAAATTTACAATTATAACAACTGAACTTATTATTATTGTATCCAAAAATGTGATTTTAAATAATTACATTTTTATAATTGATAAACATATTATTGGCTTAGTCAAATAAATTAAAAATTAGTTTTTGTTTGAACAATTTTAATATTTTTAAAGTCTTCACTCTTTAATGTAGTTTAATTTCTTTCATAGTTGTTTTTTTTGGAAATAAAGATGAGCCTGTGTTATTCCTTGTTAGTTGTTTGATATAATATAATGTAAAACCATAGAGTAATATTACTCTATGTGTAAAACTCGGCCAATTAGTTTAATTGATGTGTCCCATTATAAACTGTATAGGCAATAGAGTATATTATTATGGTAGTATAGTATAGATATAGAACAATGCCAGTATGTTATACACTTATACCTTATCCGTTATCGATTCCATCTACCGATATTTTTTAAGATTAAAATTAATTATATTATGTAATAGTATAATCATTTATAATGGCTGAATTTATTGAAAGTAATCGTTGATAGTGCTTATTGGAATTATAAATTTGTATCATTAAACTGTAGGTAGGTACTGGCCGAAAAGAAAACGATAAGTTTTGGCCAAAAAACAGTATTAGGTAGTAAACAAGTAGTAAACAATTACCGATTGGCGGTATCAATATTTGAAATTACTTTAGTCATATTCTCAAAGTTCACTGTATTAGCTATAACTTTCATCAATAAATAAATGTTAGAAATACGTAGTGCCAAAATGAGATAGTATAGTAGCTACTAAATCGGTTTATTTTAAACAAAATACGTCATGTCGTATCATTGATTTTACATTTTTATTCAGTTTATTCTTAGCACATTCTTAAAGATGTGAATATTTATTTTAAGTGTTTTTAATAAAAGAAAACAGTTTTTAATTTTGTAAAAAGTTTAAGATTTTTGTTGCGACTTTATAAGATAAAAGATCATAATTTTAATTACTGTAAATGTAAATATTATATTTTTAAATTAATTTATCTGTAATAAGTAAATAAATATTATAAAATGGTGTTTATAGTACACTACAATATAATACACAATACACATATTTAATATGTACCTACCTATATACAATAAAACAAAATGGCAATTTGTTTAAGGTTTATAAGAAAATAAATTCCATCGAAATATATACTGCATGTTATAGGTATTTTATCATATTTATCATATTTCTCTTATTCGTATTTTGTGCATGTATATAAAGAAAAATATTACGCAAACTTATATGGCTATATTATATAGGTAGAATATGTGGATTTTTTATAAAGTTCACAGTAAAGTACCTAAGGTACTCTTATAATTATACATTGTATTTTATATAGTACATATTTTTTGAATCTGATCTGTTCAAATTTAAATGATTAATTTATTGCAATTGAATATATTAATATATTATGTATGGGTTAGTTTAATTGTTTCGAATTAACATCGTTAAAATTAATTATATTATGTAATAGTATAATCATTTATAATGGCTGAATTTATTGAAAGTAATCGTTGATAGTGCTTATTGGTTCTTAAAAATTATAAATTTGTATTATAAAATTGTAGATACTGGCCGAAAAGAAAACGATAAGTCTTGGCCCAAAAGCAGTGGTGGTGAAGTCCAACATTTTTCCTATGACATTAGACACCTCCACATAAAATTTGACACCCACCTATTTCTTATAATTACCTTACCATAAACCAAGTATAGTTTTTATGTTGTCTATTAAACAAATTTTCATAAAATAACTATAGAATGACAAAAGTGACCCCTTACCTAATAAAATCACCTATTACCGGGGCCGCTCTACTTAGGAGGATGTAATTGTACCCGCATACGTCTCTCCGTCTTACAAAATGTACAACATAGCATTTTGAAACAATAAGAACTTTTTCCTTATAAGTGATATCAAAAAAATAAAAACGATATTGCACAGCCAAAGCTCCCCTCTATATGACGTGGTGAAAATTTCGTTTCTTAGTTGTGTCCTTCTCGGTTTCTCGGTAGCTAAAATGTTTTTGCTATGCCCTACGTGTGTAAGACGAAGACGTGGTAATCTCGCTGTCGTAGGCTTAGAGTGATAATTCTACACGCTCTGCACACGTCACATGTCCCATACATATTAAAAAGTATATTTTATTATTATTGTGGTGTGGTATTCTTTTAAATAACAACACAATTCCTGCACGGATGTTATAATAATAGTTATCTATACATGTAAAATCCAAATACCACTCACTCACTGATCGCTGTGTCTCAAAAACTACGCAACGTACGGACTTGAAATTTGGGATAGAGGTTCTTCTCATATTTTCAATAATAATTATATTTTGCAATAAGAAAGGATTTTCAAAAATGTTGCGTTTTAGTGGAGTAATTATTAATTAACAATTATAATTATTCACAACCAATACGTATTGTGAGGCACGGTGGTGGCCCGCGGGTTTCCAGCTACCTGCAACCTATCCTTTTCGTTCGTCGTCTTCGTGTAGATGAATAATAATTGTTCCGAGAAGCTTATCGATAAAAATAATCTCGTGCATCGCGCGTACATCAATACTCCTATTTTATTATAACATAAACCAATTATAGACATACAAATTATATTTATTAGTTATTATCTCTCCATTGTCTTGCCAAGGCGCCTATACATTAAACACGTTAATTTCCTTTGCACTCCGCACTACCAGTAGTTCGGACTTGCGTAACATATAAAATATTTACGGTGCCCTTAAACACATGGAGCTCATCGACGTTCGCGGTGTCATGGTACCTCACCGTGCTTTTCATGTTTCTTTTATTCGCTTTCGTATCACATGTATACAGTGTTGGGTAAGTTACTTTTTAAAAGTAACCAAGTTACCTTACAAGTTACAAAAAAAAATAGGTAACTATATTACTTGTTAGTTACTCAAGTTCAAAAGTATTGCGTAACGTTACATTTTTTACTCAAAAGTAACTATAGTTACAATGACGTTACTCTTATGATATTTAAGTTTCATAAAAAAAAAGTCTATTTTAAATCAATCTTTTTTAGATTCTGAGTGAAACGATGAATGTATTGATTTTACAATGATGTGTGTTTTTTTTTTGTGTCTGTGTACACGATAAGTAGTCGAAATAATGCTTCGATTTTCGACTTCAGTATCTTGTTCGATTGGAGAGTGAATATCGTTGGTGCATTGGGGAGGTCAAAATTTAAAATTCCCAATAGTTTTCACAAGCGCCGGGAAAAAACAACATAAAAATGAAGGAAAAACGGGAATTTTTACGCAAAATAGGTTTTTGACAAAATCGAATTTGGTTTTTGGTGTAACTTTAAAACAAATGACTGTAGGAACATGAAATTTTGACTGGTTGTTTATATTTGCCTTTTCTATACACGATAACATTTTCAAAATATTTTGATTTATAATGAACTGTTTAGGGACATTTTCATTTTCCATTTTATTTTAGTTTTTTTTTCTAAAAATATCAATAAAACTTTGTTTGTTGAGTAGAAATACTTGAAAATTTAATACAAGGTTCCTACTATATTGTTTCAAAGGCAGATGAAAAATATTAAAAATCGTTAGTCACAGTTTTTTTTTATTCATTTAAAGTTCATTTAAAGTTCAAAAATTGACAAATCACGAAAATTAGCAAACTATTTAGAGTTAAGTATTCGTAAAAATTTTTCATTTAAACCTAAGATTTGAAAATGTAATACAAGATTACTCATAAGTTTGTCTAGATTTATCAATAAAAAAATCTCTACCGGACAGTCAAATTAAATTTTTATGAGCGTTTGAAATTCAAATTTTTACAACATTTGATGTTCACTCGATTTCTCATGTAGCGATTTCCTTATTTTATTGTTATTCATAAACGAATAACTATAGATACATGAAAATTTCACTGAATGTTTGTATTAGCATTTCCGATACACCATACAATTTTGAAAATTTTTGAATCTTTTTGAGCTGTTTACGGATATTTTCATTTTTAAATTTTTTTAGTTTTTTTTTTCTATGAATATCAATAAAGTTTTATCTGTTGGGCCAAAAAGTGTAAAAATTTAATACAAGGCTCCTGATATATTGTTACAATATCAGTTGAAAAATATTAAAAATACATAGGCACAGTTTTTTTTTATAAGCATTTAAACATCAAATTTTAACAGAATTTTTCAAAATCTCGAAAATTATTAATCATCGTAATTAATAAATTATAAAATAATCAGTTTTTATAGCTAAGGATTGAAAATTTAAAACAAGATTCCACGTAAGTAGTTAATTCTTTTACCAAAAAATCTAAAAAATATACAATCACAGTTTATTTTTATAGTCATTTTATGTTCAAATTTGGACGAAATTACACATTAAAAAACCTAGTTATTTTGTTGTGATTATATAATATTATTCATGGGTACATACTTGAAACTTCTAAAGTTTACTATTATATATCAATGATAGTATCAGGATTTGTTATTGATGTTGATGTATAACGTGTTATAAGTACCTAATGGATATTGTGATAATGTGATATGATTAATTTTAAATTTATTATAGGTCAATTTTTTTTTTAATACCATAGATATGTATATAATTTGTCTTAAACCTAGACTGACATACCGTCTTCCCTCAGAATCGTTTTTTATTGTATCATTGAATTCAAATTTAATACCATCCATTATACAGTGACCCACTTGTAACCTACAGTACAGCAGAGCGACATCCACTTACCCACCTTTTTTATATTTATTTTAAACAATAATGTATTTTAAAAATTTTGATCAGTTAATTTAGCTCATTTTTTTGTACAAATACCTATAGTTACGCTAGAGAGCCTTTCAACAGAAGCACTTGAAGGGAGTGACGTATATTACACTTCACAAAAATTTGTGAAGTTAAATTGAAAATAATGTTAACACAAAATCGTTTACTTATATAATTATATTATACTGGGAAAATGTTGCAATTACATTAATACCTAGGTACTTAAATTATTAATATAATTACATTTTCTGATGCGGCAACAAGGGGAAAGACTGCCCCGTGAATAGTACCCCGATATATCCCCCCCCCAAAAAAAATTAAATTTATTATGTAACGCGTTCTTCTGCTAAGTTATTTCTAAATAATTAACGTAGTTACTCTTGCGTTAAGCAAAAAAAAATAATAACGAAGTTACAATAACGTTACTGAAAAGTGTAACTACGTTACAATAACGAGTAACGCACGTTACGTTACTACCCAACACTGCATGTATATCACCGTCTCACATGCGCCTCATTTACGGGCAAGTGTCGTACAATACGTTTGTAACAATCGGCAATGGTTTGAACTGTACAGCATGATGCCGTGTGGTAATATTTACAGAAATATTAACGAATATCATGCTCACGTGTCCCTTCCTACCACTTATGCCACCCCTTGTGAATTTCACGCTGCTTCTGAAATATACCCGTACCATTTAGTGCTATGCAGAGATGGCGATGTTATTTTACAGCCGGACGAGTGGTTGGAAGAAGAGTTAACATTTCGTTTTAAGTGTACTGGTCCTATGATGAACGTACATTTTGAACCACTTATTCCTCTATATGCCCCTTCTCCTCCTTCTAACGACTTTGCGTGAAAAAATAGTTGGCACACAACAATGTACCCATGACATTTTAAAATAATATTGTAAATATGAAAATAATATACACATGGATGAAGCCGGATAGTTATAAAAAAACAATTGACTAAGCATAACAAATATATAGCACTCAACAATATTACCCACATGTGGCTACAAATTAAAATATAATATGATTTACTTTTAAAAAGACATTCTTCTTTTCGGCAACGCTTCCACAGCGTTTTACACCTAAAAGGAGATTTTCCGGGCAACGCCGGGTAATTCAGCTAGTATTTTATATGCATAGTTATAATATTATATTTATTGATGCGCGGCAGCAAGGCTCAAGCGCTACTATTATTATTATTATTACTATTATTATTATTACTACTATTTATTATCATCATATTATATGCGCTCGCTCGCGTTTTATCGTAATATTTATATTGCGCGGTAGCGTATAACATAATATTATGAATACTGCATAACATGTATTTAGTGTCTACTGCTTATAGTATAGGTACCTACCTTCAAAGTGTCACAATACATCAAATTGTGAAAATAAATTATTCAATTTATTTATTTTATCTATGTAATATCTTAACATATTATTATAAAATAAAGTCCCTTTTTCTGCCTGTATGTTTGGATCTTTAAAACTACGCAACGGATTTTTTTAATTGATAGAGTGATTCAAGTTGAAGGTTTATATTATGTACATAACATGCATAATATAGAAGAGAAACACCGTGAGGTGCTCAAACACTTGGAGATATCAGGAATGTTTAAAGAGTAGTTTGAACCATTATCGATTTATACCAAGTACTACACCCAATCCAACACAAAGAAATTGTTCACCTTGGTCGATTTAGTTCGCAAAGCTACCCAAATTTATCTGTGAAATGAGGTACCAAGGTAGGTACACCAAAACCAAGATACACTTATTTAATCTAAATGTTTTTTTTTAATTTTTTAGCGGTTGAAATCGGGTTAAAGGTACAACTAAAATTGGATGTTGGTTTATCCGAAGTTAATAGCCTCAAAAAATGACTGGACCATTTTCAATAAAAGTTACTTCAATAGATTATTAATTAAAAATTGGAAGGTGTATACAACTTGATTTTTCAATTCATATAGGCTGTAGAATGTAGATAGATGCATAATTTTTTTTAGCATACGAAAAAAAAAATGCCAGGAACTGACCACTACTAATGTTAGAAATTTATGATATTGGCTAGGCATTTACGTTATAACCTAATTTGCATCATGGACGGTAACACATATTTATGTTACTGCCTATATATGTATAGTCACAGCTCTCTACATTACTATTGTATCATCTATTAGGTATTTAGGTACCAGTAAACATTTTTTCCGTATCCCAGAAATTTTTAAACTGCGATGTGTGATGAATAGATAATAAGGCAATTTATTAGACTGAAAATTAGTAAACCTATCCTTCACAATAAAATATTTAACAATCAACCATAAGGCGTAATGTATAGGTAATCATATGATCGCCCAGAGAGAGACAAAACGGCGTAGTAAACCCAAAGCTATAATATTATATTATATGAAATAATGCAACGTAGAATAAATGTATACATTTAGTATAATTTCTGATTGGTAATATAGGTATTAATATGCAATGTAAAATAAGCTTAAATAACAGGAAGCGTGGATCATAGGTGAAAATAACAAGTTGTTTTACCTAGTCATACAATAATGCAATTCGACAATATTGGGGAAGTAAAATTATAATATAGAGATCACGGCACCAATACGTCATTGTTAGAACCCTCATAAATAGGTAGAGCACCTACTATTACTTAGAAGTTAGAAGATAGTCAGCCCTTGTCGTAGGTCTAACAAGCTTACGACTATGCTTATAGTTATTTTGTATTCGAACTTGTAATAATAAAGTGTTATATTATTGTCATATTTAAAATTCTAAAAATGGTTTATAATTATTTACCTATGTTCCCTAATATCTACTCAAGGCAACGACGAACGCGCGACGTCGTTAAATAATCATTGTAATAGTTTTCAACGTGTCCTTCACGGCAAACGATACAACGGGCATTGCCCCCCCCCCCTAGAATTTAATTATAATTCTGAAAATATAAACTTAAACTCTTTTATGTACTTTTTGGTATTTGATTTCATAATTCCCCTCCCTGATAAATTTCCTGCGAAATTTCCTATGAATGTAGATAGTAGGTAGGCTAAAATAAAACACTATCAATATAATAGTAACATTGATTATATCTCCTTATTATTACTTATATTGCACTAATATTAGTTTCTAAACATTTGCACATAAAATATAATGTGGTCTGAGGTCAAGCATTGGCCTAAGTCGTTAGCTCCCGGATGGGTGAACACCCCGGTCTTTTGTGACGAATCCTCACTCCATACACACGTGTTCCAGACAAATTGTTAGAGAATTTGGTAACCGGTAATAAATTACCACTAATTCTATAAGCCCCTTAAACCGGTAACCACTTACAAAAATTGTTTGGGTCCTTTACCTTTTCTTTAGTCCTTACTTTACAAGTTGAAAATATAGACACTTAATAAAATAAAAATTTTTTAATTATTTAAGGCTTCAAAATTTAAATACAAGGTTTATTAGCCTACAATTGTTTACTTTCAATTTAAAATTTAAAATCTGAATGTGTATAAATTACGTCCATGCAGTGGCGGACTGGCAAGGGATGCCGGGAGGCGATTACATCCCGGGCCCCATGCTCCATGTAGGTTTGGAAAAATAATTTAAATAAACTGCTTAAAACAAAATAATTATTTCTAATCGTTGTACTTGTCGTCGACAAACCACTACCGTGTATTTTTTATTTTTTTTTTATTTTTCAATCCTTAGATTGGTTAAATGATTACAGCTACTTTTAGCTACTTTTAGTTATTATAGTTGGTTTCCCCTATATCGTCTATGATCTGTTTCATAAATGGTGTTCTTGGTCTACCTCTTCCAGCTTTTCCTTCTATTATTGTCGTTATTTTTTTTATTTTTTTATTTTTATTATTTTTTATTTTTTTTATTTTTGTGTCCGTCATCACGTTTTAGGACAGTAAAAGTGCTTGGATTTTCTTCAACAGTAGGTTTTCTGATAGGAAAGTGAATCTAGTTGGTATTTTGGGGGGGTCAAAAGTGAAAATTTCAAAGTAGTTTTCAAAAGCGGCGTGAAGAACAAAAAAAATATTAAGGAAAAACGGGAATTTTTACACTAAAATCTGTTTCCGAGAAAATCGATTTTGATTTTTGGTGTAACTCTAAAACAAATGAACGTATATACATGAAATTTTCACTAGTTGTTTATATTTGAATTTTCTATACACGATAACATTTTCAAAATGTTTTGATTTATTTTGAACTGTCTAGGCACTTTTTCATTTTCCATTTTTTTTTCTAAAAATATCAATAAAATGTTATTTGTTGGTTGTGAAAGTTTGAACATTTAATAGAAGGCTCCTACTATATTGTCTCAAAGGCAGATGAAAAATATAAAAAATCCTAAGTCACATTTTTTTTTTTATAAGCATTTAAAGTTCAAAAATTGACAAAATATTGAAAAATCACGAAAATTAGCAAATTATTTTGAGTTAAGAATTCGTAAATTTTTTTTTTTTTAAACTAGATCACCAAAAATTCTAAAAAATATATGAACACAGTTATTTTTTACAGACATATTAAATTCATATTTGGAAGAAATTAAATAATAAAAAACCTAGAATAACTATTTTAGTTATTTTGTTGTGATTGTATAATATGACGTATTATTCGTGGGTACTTGAAACTTCTAAAGTATACTACTATATATCTATGATAGTATCAGGGTTTGTTGTTGGTGTATAGCGCGTTATAAGTACCTAATGGATATTGTGATCTGATTAATTTGGAATTCATTATAGGTCAATTTTTTTTCAATACCACAAATAAGTATAAAATATGTCAGGTCCGTGAAGTTAGCGGAAAAATGTGAGCACTAATTTCCGCTATACCACCACTATTTAGTGCTCAATTAGTGCTATACAACCGTTGCGTTTTAAAAATTAGTGCTATACCCAGTAAAAAGTTACAGGGGGGCTTACCTTTCTCCGCTAACTTCACGTAGCGGGTTCAACACCAGCACCAAAATCCTCTATAGCACCAAAATTTAGTGCTGAATTAGTGCTGTTTGATGGTACCGTTTTCAAAATTAGTGCTATGTTTCCCTTCGAGTTATGCGATTTTCGGTATTTCGTCCCAGCGGGTGCACCTTCAGCACCAAAATCCGTTATAGCACCAAAATTAAGTGCTGAATAAGTGCTAATCAACGGAACTGTTTCCAAAATTAGTGCTATGTTTTTCTAAGGGTTATGCGATTTTCCGCATTTCGTCCCAGCGGGTGCACCTTCAGCACCAAAATCCGTTATAGCACCAAAATTTAGTGCTGAATTAGTGCTATTCGATGGTACCGTTTTCAAAATTATTCTAAATTTTCTTCTGAGTAATGATGTGTTTATTATTTTATTCCTTAAATTATTTTTTAATTTTAATTTGAATTAAATATTGTGTTTTATAACTTTTATTCTCAATAATTTGTTTTGTATTTAATTATACCATACAAAATATTTTGCTAACTTTACTTTTATTCGTGTATTATTAGTTGTACTATGCTCTACTTCACTGGGGTATTTATTAGATTTTGTTATTTTTGTTAAGATTTGCACTTATCATTTATAATTATTATTAATTGTGTATTTATTTTGTACCTATTTTAGACAAAACCCTGGGAATTTAATTTTTAATTTTTGTAAAGTATTTATTACGGTTTATTACAAATATGATAATAACATAGAGAGCGTCTTACGAGGATTCAACCAATGCGATATCTTCTGAGATAATAAATATGTCATGGATCTGTTTTTACAAATTTTTCATTTTTTCATTTTATTAATTCGTTTATTAAAATATTAACCAAATTAATTTTTTAGTTTTGAAACAATTGAAGATA